TATTCTTAAATATTAAAAAACAATTATTTAAGTTATAAGCTAGTTTATTAAATAAAAAGTTTATATAAAATTCTAATACAAGTTAAATATTTTTTTGAATTCAAGTTATTAAAACTAATAAAGATATACTTAGTATTTTATATAAAAAATTACTAAAAATAAAAATTCAAGTAATTTTTTAAATAAATAAATAAATCTAGAGCCTTTATTATTAAAATTATAAAATAAGGAAATAAAATATAAAGTTTAGAAAGTATTAGTAATAAAGTTACTTTATAAAAAGCTTAAATACTAAATATAATAAAAAGAATAAAACCAAAATTTAAAGTAATATTTAGCTTTCTTATTATATAATAGCTTTTTAGCTTTTTAGAACTTTTATATTAGAAACCCTAAATAGCTAAAAGTATATAAAAACTTGTAATAGTAATTAAATTATATAAAAAATAATACTTTTTGAAATTATATAATATAAATAAAAAATCTTTTAAAGTTATATAATAAAGGCTTTAGCTTTTATTATCTAATAAATAAAATATATAATACTTGAAAATTTAATATAAATTTCTAAAGCTTAGAATATGCTTAGTTTAAAAAAAGAAATAATACTATAATTATTATATTATATAATACTAATAAAAATTAAACTAAAATTAAAATCAAGAAATAAAGTTATAATTATATATTATAACTTTATTTAATAAGTATATAAGCTTATATATAATTTATAATTATTTAAATTTAAGATTTCTTTAAGATTCTCTTTTTTCTTTAGCTTTAAATTATTAAAATAAAAATAGTTTTATTAAGCATTTTAGGCCCTAGATCTTATATTTATAATATTTATAACTTTTTTAAAACTTATTCTTTTTCTTTTAATAGCCTTATAAATAAAAATTTATTAAATTAAAGATTTTAAAAATAAAGTAACTTTTATTAACTTCTTTTATTTTTACTTTTCTTAATTTAAAATAAGTAATATACTTTGCTTTTTAAGCTTTTTTAAATTACTTGAAAATAAATATTGCCTTATTTTTTGAAGAAATTAATATAAATATCTAGTAAGTTTTAAAGTTAAATAAAGTAATATTAAAAGTATAAATCTAATTTCTTTTAAAATATAAATTTTAATTAATTATAAGACTAATTATTTAAATATATAATTTAGTAATTATTTTATTATTCTTTTATTAAAGATTTTGAAGTTCCTTAAAAGCATTCTACTAATAAATTTAAAGTCCTTGAAATATATTAATTAAATAAGCCTTAAATTACTTTTAATAAATCTTATATATTAGTAAACTTTATTTTATTATAACTTTTTAGATATTATAAGATTTGTTTTTAAAAATATATATAATAAAATTAATTCTAGTAAAGTATTTATTATAACTTTAAAGTTAAGTTTTAAAGATTATTTATTAGAAAAATATAAAAGTTCTTTAATTTTAAAAAGTTTCTTTTAATTTAAATATATTTTTTATGATATTATATAATAGCTCTTAATAAATAATATTAAGATTACTTTTAAAGCTTATTATATTAGAAAAAGAAATAAGTTCTAATTCTATTTTAAGAACTTCTTTTATAAGTATTATTAAGGAAAATAAAATAAACTTATAAATATCTCGAAAATTACTTTTGTATTATTTTAATTATAAAATATATTAATTAATTATATTTATTAATTCCTGCTTTATTAAAAGGCTTTAACTTTAGTTTATAAGCCTTATTTCTTAATTTAAGTAATAATAACTTAAGTATTATTATTATTTCCTTTAAAAGTAAAGAAATTAGCTTATAAAGTATTTAGTAGTAAATAATAAAATAATAAAATAAATTAGTAAAATATAAAGCTATTATATTAAATTTAATATAAAACTAATTTTATTTCTTTTATAAGGTCTAGAGAAACCCTCTCTAAATAAGGGCTCTAATAATAATATATATATAATTAGAGAATTATAAGCCTAAAGATTATAATATAAATAATAATATAATAATAATTTATAAGAGTTATTAATTTCCCTAATTAATACCCGAGGTTTATTACATGCAATTTGGTTATATATAACCCTATATATATTATACTTATACTTTTGTAGCTATTAGTATTCTCTTAATTTTACTAATAAGTTATAAACTAGAGAGAGTATTTTCAAGGGCTTGCTATATAGTAAGTTAAGATAAAAGGCAAATAAAACCCGAAACTATTGAGATATAAGAGTACTTAAAGCATTAAAAGAGAAATAGAATTCTAGATAATTCCTTAAAGGCTAGGAGTGCTATTATTTCGTGTTTTTAAAGGAAGAAAATTATATTATATAATTCGCGCCAAGGAATCAATTCTTTATTAATAGGTATCGATACCTTACAATTCTGGCATTGATACCGTATTAATACCGGAAATTAGGTATTATAGCCGAGCCTGTTATCAAGGTCATTTTATCTACCAAGTGACTAGTTGATATCAGCTGGGATATGTTCTGTTCAGACAGGTGCGGGAAATTTGTATGTAAGGAGACGTTGACTTCTTGATAGCCGTCTCGGATCTGGTATTATCTGCCAAGAAGCCTCATGAAATCACCGAGATTGAGATCACAATTCCAAGTTGTTACATAAGCCTTTGGGGAAGGAAGTACTTAGGTAGCTTTTTTCCTATAAGAATAGATCATCTTTCTGCCCTTACTCTAGCCTTTGCCATCGTTGGGGCCCAACAAGAGTCTCTCTCGTAACACAAGTGACTTCAACTTGCAGCATTTTAGAGGCTATTCGAGAGAGACCGCCAGTTTCTCAGCCCAGCCAGCCACCTACCTATATAAATGGTTTGCAAAAGACTTCACATACTTTGCTCTCCTTGTTTAAAATACTCCTCAACACTTAGAGCATTGCTATGGTATGTCCAATGCAAATATTTTCCTTGCCAATATGATGTTGACTCACTTCTGCTAAACGCGTTAAGATTGCTCACTACTAGATTAAGGATAACCTGCATATGAAAGTATTCATGGCTCCCTTGGAAATAGTGTTGAATTTCTCAACGCATTTGACGTATGAACAAGTAGCTGAATTAATCGATTGATTTGTACCTCGAACTACATGAGCCGAGCTGCCGAAGGATGTTCCCGTCTTGTTAGAGAATTGTCTGGGATATCTTCGAGCCCATAAAGAGGGTCAGAGGTAGATTCTCATACAGTTCAGCAGTGGACATGAGTCTTACATTAGAGAAGCATTTTCTTTCTGCTATAGTTTGTAGTGGTGATGATTGAAGTATCTTCGGAGATGAGATCACGAGTAGACATGAGATCAAGTGATCCTGAATCCCAATGTATGTCGGTGAGTACAAAATGCCATAGTGTGTTTCCGGCCATCCCCATTTCAACGTGACCAGGGAAACGTAGATTATGTGGTTTGGCAATTTTTCTACCTCAAACACATCGCGAACAACGGCAGGCATATTGCTCTCAAAAATAAATAAATAAAATAATTTTTTTGTCTTTCAGTAGTAATCTGCGCCGAATATTAACCTACATCGCTTCTAACGCGGTTAGCCGGCGTCGCCGCTTTACGTAGGCGCCACTCAGCCTCGCGGTTGTTAAGGTTATAGATTCGGGGACGAGGGAGGGGGGAGGGGTTGAGTAAGGGCAATAAGGAGTGAGGCATATAAAGACTACGGTGCTGGGAAATGAAAAAGTTACCAAGAAAGTCTACCTAATGTTGCGGCTTTTGAACTTATGTTAACATACGTTGGGGTCGAGAGAGTGGAAGTCATCTCCACCGGATGGTTGTCTACGAAGCAAAGTCACGTGCAGTCTGCTTAAATCCGTCCTTTGGAGGCCAGTATGGGATTCGATGATGACTGTGAGCAGAAGGCCGAGAGTTCTGTTAATGGATTTGAAAAGGAACGTCTGCTTAGTGGATCCTCGATTGGCTGATCAATCGTGGCTGGATGATGCTAACCGTCAATGCACCCTTTTCGAAATATACTAAAATGCGAAACTACCCTTGCAAGTTCGCACGCCCCCTCACAGCTTTCGAAATTTGACTTAGAAACTGCGCAACCTAGACGTCTATAAGTATCCTTTTCTTTCTCCAAATCTTCATTCCAAATTGCTCATCCGTCCCGCCATCTTCTCCTTCGCACTCCCGTGACATCCAAACCTGTTCCCAGTGTTCCATCGCCTTGCTCCTTCATTTGGCCGAACTTCAGAATACTTCGCTGCAAGCAAGTAATGAAGGTATGTACGATAACCACGGCGGGGAATAAAATCTGCTTACAACTTCCCTAGCTTAAATTCAGAATGCCTTCTTCATCTCTGGGACTTTCCCTACAGGCAAAGCCTGAACCCAAACCACAGCCACCACCAAAGCCCAATCCATGCGACATATGTGAGTAATGATTGATCCAAGTATCAGTTTAAGACTCTTGAGACTGATTTTCGAAAGCATATGGAGGATGATGAAATCTGCACTGAGGAAAACGACGGAAGGCGAAATGTTCGGTGGTGTATGGTTTGAGTTGGGCAGGGGAGGTAGGACGGGGAGTCGCTTTTCCAGTATTAGATTTGATGACGAGTTCTACCGGAGGCCTTGAATATCTCTCAGTTCGCCTGTAATGTATTTTTGAATTTATTTAGTGGAGAGGAAATAATTTTGGGGTAGTGGGTTTTGACAACGGTAAACTTCTGTTTCTGGATCTTGATCTGCGATTATACATTATGAACACTGTATCTTGTAAAGTTTCAGAGTAACCTTTTTGAGAAAATATTCTCTCTTGATCTTGGCCCTTTTAAATGTTTTTGTACATAAATGAGAAGACGAAAAGGCGAAATAATAGTGTAAATAAATAGGGTATTTTGAACTGTGTGCGTAATGTTGAGAAATCACGGCCAACTGCAGAAAACCAGCCACTACTCCAAACTACCCAAAAGAAGTACTCCTGAGAGTTCCAACGCGCTATGCCAAGCCATGAAGATAAGTTCCTCGTAATAATTTCAAGGGATACCCTGCTCTTCTAGAGGGGTCGGGTCAAGAACAGCCTTGCCATCAATAAGGGCCAACATTATCGCGAGGCAGTGTTTGAGCTTCTTACAGCCTTCCTCGTCTCTTGCACTCGCATGCTCATCAAGGTTTTTCTGTGCTATCTTTCGTAAACTGCGTCCACCGGCTGCACGATGATTGACACGAGCGCCGTTCTGGATGAGAATCGCGACACATTTACTGAAGCCCTTCTGCAACGCGTAATAAAGTGCCGAATGACCATTCCGGTCGACCATCTGCACATTGGCACCGTAATTAATGAGTAATGCGGTGATGGAATGTATTGCAGATTCTTCTTCGTTCGGAGGGCTTTGACAGATGTGTGTGATGAGCGGTGTCCTCCCGTCTCTGTCGTAGCTGTTGATATCAACTCCACTGACCAATGCCTGTGTCATTTGTTGGACACGGTAGTCTTCCTCAGCCGAAGTGTGGCCCGGTGGCCAGTATGCCCAACAATGAAGAGTGTTTTTGCCTCTGAGATCTTCAGTATTGGGTCCTTGACGTTGCGAGAGCACTTGTTTTCGGTCACGCTCTTCTTCCAGATGAGTTCGAGGATGGCTTTCATCCGCCGCACTGCAACCCACGATGAAGGATTTGGCTTCGTTTTTGAGAAGTACAATTGTCTGTGCATAATCCACTTGCGCATAGGATGCGAAGGGAAACATTTGCTTGGACACATCCTCCAGATATCTTGCCGCATCTTTTCCTTCATTATCTCGGAGCGCGAGGTGATGAGAAGGGGTTGGCCCATACATTTCGCAGATTTCACGACATACCGATTGTCTAATTGGGTGTCGGAGTAGGCCATGTAGGACAGTTCTACCGTGGTGGTCGCGTTGGTCTAGGAGACCAAAGCCCTTGAACTTCCACAAGAAGCTGGCCAGCTCTTCACCAAAACCACTGGCATTTAAAACGTGCAGAAAATTCTGTCCAAGTGTGTTGCGACATTGTATATCAATACCTTCGAAGTTGAGCATGTAATCGAGTAGTTGTCTTCTCCCTGTCTCTGCAATGTAGTGGAGAGCGGTGTTTCCAGCTCCGTCAACACCACCCTTGTCGTGAATCCTCTCGAGTCGCTCCAAAATCCGGCGATCGTTGAGGTCTGGAATGCGCATACACGTGGCATGAACTCGGCGAACGCCACATTCGCAGATTGTGCTCTGACCCCGTCTGACAGGAGTGTGGTCTCTTTTGCAGGGGATGACGTGAAGAATTGAAACCCTCTTTGGAAAATCATCGGAGGTCATGGGGTGGTTGAAGTGGGGGTACAGGTCCGCCGCGGTTTGAGAGGTGCCATGCTCGGCTTCGGGTACCTTTTCAACGGTAATGTTAGGATCGAAGTAAGATATGTCGGGGTGGAACGGCAGGTGGCTGATGATGCCAGCCTGAGAAGCCGTATTGACTTGATTCTGCATCGAATAGTACCCTGAATCAACATCTACAGGATTCGATGCGATATCTTGGCTCCTGAACTCCAAATTTGTTTCACCCAGATGTGCCGGATTGCTGAAGCCCAAGTCGAGATCCATTTGGAGTTCAAAATCTTGCGTTGATGGCTCCTGTACAAAGGTTGGTGGACCCAAGACACTCGGGATAGCGCGTAAACTGGCCTGCGGATCATTGAAGTGGTGTAAGTCCCCATTACCATGGGTGAAGGTAGCATCGTATGCGGGATGTGCGGCCTGAGAATCCGAGGCAGGAGGGTTGAAAGTTGGTGAATCTGGGCGATTGATCGATGAAGAAGGGAAAACGTTTGAAGGCAAGGCAGGATCGCCACAAGTGGCAGTCTGAAATTGGTTGGGATACAGGATTGAAGATTCAGTGTGGTCCAGTTGATTATCTAATAGTATTAGAGTAGAATTGACAGTGAACAAAAGCATATATCAACGGTATATATTTAATCGAAGGGAATGTGAATAATTGTGAAGAATTAATTTAATAATCAACCTCAAAGGAATAGAGTTCTCACAATTAACTTTTAGCAAGTGGGCTACTTGCTTACGCAGGTCTGACTTGAGAAGTTTTCGGATTTCTGGATTCAAAGTAAATCCCCAGTCCTCTAATCTGTTTGCGAGAGTCTTTTCTCTAAAAAAAATTTCGTTAGCTGCAAATACTCAGGGGCACATTAGAGAATCCCAATGACCCTGTTTCTCGGCTTCCTCCAATCACGGTTTTTGATACAGTCCGAGTCAGACACCTACCCCGACTTGGATGTCATTATGATCTGATCCTTCAGCTTGAAGTTGAACAATCCAAGCAACGAGATCGTCCACTCGAGAAACGCCCCGCTGTCAGAGGGGCTAGCAGCTGGGTGGCAGTTGGGTGGCATGGACAAGAATACTTACGATGAGGCTGAAAACTCGAAACCAGCACGGTCAAGTTCTTTTTTGATGCATTTGGCACTGCGACCCTGCATGTAATGGTAGAAGATCTCTGACTTCCGGTCCTCGTATTCTTTGGATTTTGTCTTTTCCGAGAGCTTTGCAATTCCGTCTTGGCCTTTCCGCGCTTGAAGCTCCACATGCCATTGCCGAAGGAAAGCCTGCCCATTCGGCGTGTTCAGAAAACCTAAACAGTTGCTGCATTCTTCTCGAGAGACTGCGCCTTTTCTCCGTGCTGGGTACTGCGAAGTCGAGGAGAAAGGAGTGGCGCAGGATTCGGCTGGGGAAAATTCCGTCGGAGTGTCGCGACTCGACATCCTGAGCAATGAGAAATAAAAATGATCAGGTTTGTAATCGAGGCAAGTGAAATTAAACCCTTTCTTGAGGCTCTTAATTCCATCGTGAGATTGCCGCAGGTCATCCCAAGATCATCGCGAAATTTCTGCAAAAGTTAGTTGCTCCCATTTCACCCCAGTGAGAATAGCAAGTCAAGAATCGAGATCAGATCGGAAACAAAACTACTGATTTGTCGAGGAACATGAAAGATTCCGTCTAGACGCGCCTCTTCGGCCGTTCAACGCGATGCGAGTCCTGGCAAAACATCTTGCCACAGGCGCCGTTGAGAGCGGCATCGGTTAAGGTCTCATGGAACCGAGTCCTCAAGTAGAACATGCGACATACCGATGTGTTCACGATCTCGATATAGCTTCAAATGCAGTTTTGGTTTTGTTTCTTCTGGCAATAAGAGAGTGATTAGGAATAAAAAGGAGACTAGGGAAAAGAAGAAATCACAAAATCTGCAAGACCACATCGCCGACTACCTGAGCGATGGCCACGGTAAGGTCTTTCCATATCTGGCAGTGAAGACGGTTTGGCAATTGTTTGAAATTGCGATTTGGCCCCCTTGTTCGCTCCTTCCGTAAAGAGAATGGAAATTCGAATCGTGCCAAAATTCCTGGATATGACCACAAATCCTCTGAGATTTGGTATCCATCTCACTATTCGGTCGTGGCTTGCCCGGTGAGCCTCATAATAAAGTCAATGTACGAGGAGAGAAATTGCCTGGGTCCTGATATGTGGCATTCCAAATCTCCGGGCGACGGCCGCTGGACAGCGCGCAAAGTTTGTGCCGTGTGTCAAAATGGAAAGCATTCGTTGATCTCCTCCTACGCTTGGGGCTCGCAACGGCCTCTGCAAGTCATTGTGTCTAGGTTCAATTAACGGTCGCTCCACTAGTGGGAACTTGCAAACTTACGGAGGTACAGCCCATAGAGATAGTAATCGCACTAGCAACCAGGCAGGCGAAAGATTTGACTTGATCAGGTATTGAATCCCTCGTTTGGCTTGTTTTGTTTGCTCACTTTGGCAAGGCGACATTGAAAAATGTACGTGCGCAAGAAACCCTTGCTAGTGCTATTACTATCTTTATGGGCTGTACCTCCGCATGACTCCATATTAGTCTGGTAGTTGAGGCCAAGACTATCTTTGCGGGGTCCCTCAGCGCATCTTTTGCCCACGTTTTCTGGGTATGGTAGTTTCCGTTCTTGATACTCCATAGGTGGTAAGTAATAGAGAAATTAAACACAGAAGTTGAATCTGTCAAAATTGATCCGCAAAACCAAAGAAAATCGCAAAATTCATAAGCTTTCCTCCCTCGTTGAACGCAGAACGGGCGCCGGAAATCACCTCATCTAATCTTACAAATTCGTACCCCCTGGTACTCGCTACAGCCGTATGCGAAACTACAGTTCCCTGCCCATTTTTAAGCGAAACCTATCATAACGTGATTTGTGTTGAAAGGGCTGTTTTGCACGTGATGGCGCTAAGGGTAAAACTCTGATTTTTGGGCACTTGTAAACCTTAGCCTTTACATCAAATATATGCTCTTTTGCAGGACCCCAAAATTACCCTCTCAACAATTTGCGCAAACCACGATTTTTAAGTCACCGACCACTTTACGAAATATTATTTTAATTTTTAAGCCCTTCTGGAAATACAACAAGAAATACGTAAGGACCAATTTAAGCCAAGGGGCACGTGTTCTAGAAGTATAATTCAAGTTATTAAAAGCGGCTAAAAAATTCCGATTTTTAAGCCTCGCATTTCTTAGCCCCCTGTCTAGCCTCTCGATTTTCTATTAAACCAGCCCGTTTTCAAATAACTCAAGAACTATATCTCTAAAACACGTGCACCTTAGCTTAAATCTGTTTCTAAGTGCTCCCCGTTACATTATTATAAAGGCTTATAGTTTGATTAAGAAATGGTAGCGAGGTCGGCAATTTACTAGAAAAATATACCAAAATTCTTAATGTGGGGCAAATGCAAGGGACAAAAAATACTATTGCAAATAACTTAAGAACTATACTTCTAGAACAAGTATACCTTATCTTAGATTAGTTCTTATATGCTCCGTAGTATAGTTCTAGAAGGGCTTATAATTTAATTTTTAATTGAGAATTAGTTGCGTAGGGTCTAGGGGTAGAATCGCGGTTTGCGCAAATCGCGTTGTGATAAATTTCGCTTAAAAATGGGCAGGGAACTGTAGTTTCACGTGCGGCTGTGATCGTTCGGCGGTTTTCACCTCCACCCGCTTAGACAATTATTAGGTGAGGACGGGCCGAACCATTACTCGTATCTCTGAATAGAACTATTAGCGTCATCAGGGGTTAGCCTTACGTTTTGGAATGGGATCTTCCGAGACATCTCTGATCTCTCACGAGTTCAGCCCAAATCCTGCGAACTTGCGAATTATGGTTGGGGAAATTTCGAAAAGTTTCTGAAGCCCTTGCCTATCGTGGAATCGTTCCCGAGGCCGAGATGCAGCGTGTTCCAGGCCTCCGGTCGATCGCGAGCACTCGGATGACAGCGCGCTCATCTAGCACTTCCCCGTAGGCCTAGGGTCACCGTGAATGTGGCGACGTATAGCAATATGACCGCTACAGCTCTTCAATGAGGCCGTAATGCGCTTCAATATCCGCAAGTAGTCGATCGAGCCATTGCTTACGACGAGGACAAATCGAAAATTGCTTAGGCCGAAAAAGCTTTCGCGTCAGCGAACATGGCGCCGCAACTGAATGCTGCACAGCATATTTTGATTAACACTTTACTAAAAGAAGGGTTCAAGAATAATAGCCTCAGAGGCCTCGTGCAGCGTGCCAATTATGAACAACAGCTCGCTCGAAACTGTGTTTGCCCGAGCGGACTGGATCGATAAAGGGCGAAGAACCAATTTTGTGGTATCTAATAGGCCACAGCGCCCTTCGAACAGTGGTCGCACAAAATGACCTCTTCAGAAGCCGTAAAGCTACTGCATATTTTCTCAGTTGTGCTCAAAGCTATAAATTCCAAGCTCGTTTGCCCCGTTTTGATTCCTTTCCTTTAAAAAAATCTATTGCACACATTCTTGCTTTTTTTGTTGCATGAAAGCGTTCCCGACCCTTTTTGCGATGTGCAGCAAACCAGGGCAGCCACGATTACTGGTTGATCACAGGCCTCTTCACTTTCGGGCACCCCGTGGTCTTTGCGTCATCCTTCACAAACTGACAACGACTTAGCCTGATTGCACCACCGAATGAGTTTCAAATCAAGTAGGCAACCAGAGATTAAGCTACAGTATTGCCTGTCCATGTGCGAGAGGAAGCCTATTTCACCTCTGGGTATTGATGATACCACTCATCCGATTGGCTGGGATCGTGAAATCCAACACGGTTTGTGGCTTGCGCTAAATCACGTGGTGCCAGGTGTCGATTCTTTCAATCAGGCCATCCTCTTTCGCCTTAACCACTGCAATAGAACATGGACTATCTTCCTATTCCCATGCCTTCTGTGCCTCTCTTCCATTAGCTTATTTCTACGGATCTTCTGGTTACAATGTCTGATTATATCTACCAACCCTTGAAAAATGCAACAGAGGACATTCGCCTCCTAAAACTCACCTTCGATATCAGACAAGCACTTGGACGTGCCAATGTGAATCCTCTGGTCGGGCAACTAAAGAACTACTCTTTGCCCTTGACTACCCTCTCCAAGAGGCAGAGAATGCTACGGGTTGCTCTGCTACCGTCCTTCAATGCTCTGTCCTATGTCTGGGGAAATCCGGCTCGAACGCACGAGATTACCATCGATAATAAGAGGCTCGGTATTACAGGAAATTTGCATAAGGCTCTTCGAGATATTCAGAGGGATGCAATTGGAGATGTATACGTCTGGGCTGATGCAATTTGCATTTGCCAAGATGACCTTACAGAGCGGTCTGCGCAGATTCTTCTAATGAGAGAGGTTTATCACGCTGCATCTGATGTGAGAATATGGCTTGGGTCACCTACTGAAGAAGGCCGAAGATGTCTCAAATTCATTGCTGATCTCACTGGAAATTATGGACCCGAAGAATCCGATATGGTACCATCGGAAGAGAGTAAATTCGAAGAGATATTTGTGGAGGGGTTGTTGATATCCACGGCTGGAATTGTGCGTACTGGGTATGGGTTTGGACAGTCGTTGGTAGAAATTACGGACGTCTTGGATTCGGACGTGAGGGATGACAAGGCAGAAATGCTTCTCGACCCCGATGCCATACTATCACTCCATCATGATACGATCCAAACGTTGGTTGAATGGAAGCCACATTCACGACATTTTAAAACTGTTCAGGATGAAGATTTTGTTTTCATCGCAAACCTGATCGACCACGAGCTGATCCAAAGCTGTACTTGGTTTGAGCGAATGTGGGTTGTACAAGAATTAGGAGCATCTAATAACGCTTCGATCCTCGGATATGGGAAGTCAGTGAATTGGGAGTCGTTCCTACGTGCTGTATACTTTCTAAATTACAGTCTTGCAGCTCCGGTCAACAATATTCGAAAGTTAACTGGACTGGAGAAGATTCGGCAGGGTTGGAACAACGGAAAACGACAGCCACTCCGAGATTTAATTCGAGAGTGTCGATACAGAAACGCCACAGACCCACGAGACAATATCTTTTCTCTTCTTGGCATGATGGGAGATACGATGAACACATTCTTGATGCCTGATTACACCAAGTCTGTGAGCGAGGTTTATGCAAATGCTACATTCCATTTCATAGAACAATCTGGATCACTAGACCCTCTATGCGGGTGGCAAAGTCTCGGCCGACGGGAGCAACTACCTTCATGGATACCTGACTACAGCTTGAATCAAGACCTTGCAGCTTCACCCCTGGTTCCAATTGACGGCAGGGAAAGTATTTTCACTGCTTCGGGACATGACCACAGATCGAAATATATGGCGTTGGATCAACAAGAACTGAAGCATTTCTGGACACACTTGCCTACAAGTGGACTTTGCATTGATACCATTGCTATGCTTTCGGATCCTTTGCCTGAAGATGTGCCGTTCGGCTCTATCGAACACATGTGGCATTCCACCATCTCTTCATCCGGTGGACTCCTCGACGGCTTTACAAAGGATGTCCAATCATATTTGGAAGACATATCTTCTGTTGTCAGCATGTATAGCAAATACTGGGGTTCTTTGGATCAATTCTCGAAACACTTGCAGTCAGTGTCGATAAAATCACCATTAACAGCTCGTCTACCCAAATCGTCCAAATCGACGGATCGTTTGTCGAAGCACTCGCAATCAACAGACCAACTAGCAAGATTCAGTCCTCCCACAGGAAAGCCTTCTCTATACTTCGAGCCAAAGAAGTCGGATTCATTTCTCCACGCAATATACATCCTTGACGCATACCTTCAAAGTCTCCTCTGCGGCCGGATCTCAACAACCGAACGCCTCACAAAGGATGATATTCAAAAATTCATGAGCTTGAATCTTCCTGCAGATACTGCTGATCCTGAACGGGAATCGTTTCTTGCAAAAGTTTGCAATGCCCTAGGAGCAGGAATGACCAGACGGTGCATGGCTGTCACAAAAGAAGGTTATATTGGAGCAATCCCCCAAGAAGCGCAGCAGGGAGATCTGATCTGTGTTCTGTTCGGTTGCAGTGTGCCGGTAGTTCTGCGGAAGAGAATTGGGGGAGAATATTTGTTTATTGGAGAATGCTATTTGCATGGTTTCATGGACTCCGAAGCAATTGTTTTTCAGGTCAAAGGCGAGTTCCAAGTACAGAAATTTGTCTTGTGCTGAGAAGGGTGTTGATGAATGAAATGAAATATACTGTAAATTCTTTCCATTGAATAACCCATCTTACTGGAGCTGTGACTATTTGAATTCCTTGAAGGCCTGAAGCCGGCGGCATTGAGGGCGGCTGGGGGTTTTTAGTTGAGCCATAGTATCGCTTAAGTTGAACCATATTATCAAACTCTGCATATGCTCGTTTATTTAGCTGATCCATAGTATTGCTTAAAGAAGCGAGACAGCTAGCCGAGCAAATGAATAGGTAGATTTTGTAGCAATTATATTTTAGGCATGTGCTTTGCATATGTACAGGCTATGGGCTATACGGGCTAGGAAGGTTCGGGTTAGTCCCGAGCTTGCGAGGAGGCTTAGGGTCAGGTGTTAGGGTTAGTGCGGGGGTTGGGGGGCGGTGAGAGCCCCCCATTGGGATATAATTAAGCGTAAATGCCCTACGGGTTAGGGTTAGCATATGCTAAGTATATGGGTTCCATATACCGAGCATATGCTAGAGTAATAATAATAATAAAGCAAGATTTATTCCAACTTACTTATGTGCTACTTCTCAGTAGTAAAGGTTAAGCACATGCTAGAAGTATGCCTGGCGGACTATTGGGAGGAGGTCAAGGTTGGAAGGTGGGTGTAAACGGGGACTGGTGTCTATATATTATTAAAGCTAGTAGATACAGTGTGGTTTTTGGTAAGGAAAGTTGATCCATATTATGGAAAATACAAGGGTAATCTCGCTAATTGATAATACGGTTCAACTTAAGCAATACTATGGTTCAGCTACTGGCTCGGGCGGCTGACTGTTCTGGCTTCCCAGAACTTTAAAAGTGCACAGTTACAACTCGCATGGTCTCAGTATATGGGTTTTTGGTCAACAAAAATGCGAGACAGAGCGGCCGAGCAGTCGGGTAAGGGGAGGTATTGGGGAAGGATTGAAGAGGAGGATGGTTAAAGAGAGGGGCAGCGCTGTCTGTAATACTAAGGAATGCTACGCGAGCAGAACAGGGGTGTTGCAGGGGTTGGCAGGGGCACACTGATATGATATGTATAACTGATCGAGAGTTGTGCCAGAGGGGGTATCACCGATAGATTTGAAAGGCGTGATCAGTTCCTGAAATTCAAAAATGCAACTGGGACTAAGGTTTGCGGAGATTCTCGCCATAACAGAAGGCGGGCCACGGAAGCAGAGCACAAGGGCGCAGCCGTTGGTGTAGTCGAGGGGCCATCAAGCCCATTCTTCTTCTGCGTCGTCGGTGTCGAAGTGGTCAGTGTGTCAAAAAAATAATTAAGGTAATTAATTATATTTAATTAAATCAAGTAAATAATTAATTATAATTTGATTATCGACTTTCAAAAAAAAATTTAATTATTAGAAAAATTATAATTAAATATTTCTAATTATCACGTGAAACCCTTATAAAAGTTATATAAGTAATAAATTCTCATCTTTTTCTTTAAATCATATACGACTAAAGCATAAAGAGAGTAAAGGTTAATTGATTTCCAAAGAAGAGAGAAGGAGAGCAAGGTAATATATATGTGAATTATTTGCTCTGGATATCACATGACCGCACCCACGTGACTAGAGAAGTCAAAACCCCTACTATAGTACTTATTTACAAAGATAAGTAAAGCGAGTAAAGGCGGGATACTAGCTATTAAGCCTATAATAGTAAGGCGATATCTAAATTAGGGTAAAATACGCTTTACTTTTGCGCCATAACGCTTATATTATTTTTATAGTTATGTATAATAATACGCGACCCAGTAATTAATTATATTTAATTAAATTAAGCAAATAATTAATTATAATTTGATTACTACGATTCTGACTTAATTTAATTTGATTACCGGCCAATAATTATAATTAATTAAATTATTTGACACACTGGAAGTGGTAGTTGGGAGGGACGCTGAATGGAATTGTTGTGCTGTGAGGAATCAGTAGGAAAATACTTCAACCGGGGAATAAGGAGGTGACCATGTTCTATTACCCTGATTCTAATGCCGGCCGCAATATCTAGGACGTTCTGAGGATTTGGTGGGTGCCAGGTGCAGTTTGCCATCCATGGTTATAACAAATAAATAATGCTGAGGATTTAAAGAGTGCATAATATTATTAATTATAATAATTATAATCTTTACTTAAAAAGTTATAATAAAATTCTTCTTTTATTTTATTATACTTTAATTACTATATTAATCTTTTTAAAGAATAAAAACTATAATTAATAAAAATAAAATATTTGCCTGTAATTAATATTATATAATTTCAAATAAACTCTGTATAGTATAATTAATTATTTTATTTTATAATATTTTATATAGCATATACTAAGCGTGCTTCGTTTTGTTATATTCTTGAGAGATCTTTACCTGAATAAAGGCTTGCCTAAGATACATACACTAACTAGAATAGTACGAAAGCACGTCTCGTGAAAGACGTGCTTGCATTTTTTGTGGATTGTTTTTGAAACTCAAAAGGAAGTTGCGTGCATCTTCGATAGGTAACGATTATAAGATACTTTCAAGGAATTCGATCAGAAAGGAGACTAGAGGCGAAGGCATCGCGCGACCTAGAATTTTGGATTATTATGTGATTTGCGCTTGCCAAGATACCTATTTTATCACGAAGAAATCCCCGGTAGAGACCAGTCTTTCACCTGGCAAAGCGCGTTTGATATCATACCACATCCCAAATAAGCAATATGGCTCGTCCAGCGCGGTTTCCAGGCGGAAGTGGCCAGAGTTCAGTCTCCAGCGCCGCCTGCTCTTAGTCGGCGGCCCCAAGTTTTCAAACCCCATCAGGTCTTCCGTGCCTATGTTTCATATGCCGCCTCAAATTATCTTTCCGTGGAAAGTATTTTCTCCACCCTGAAGCCATCGAGTAGTTGCATCCTTCAATAGGACAATAGTACATGCTTGACGTTCGGTGAACGTCATTAATATGTCGATTGAGATGTGTTTTAGTTCCAAAGCCTCGCTCGCAGTTGGGACATTTCTCAGCCTTGTTATGGTACCTCATGTGACGGCTGATTGAATGTTACTGTTTGCATTCCTAACAAGAGAAGTGGGGTGGCATGCCTGTACTCAGCTTGTGTCTGAAATACCGTGTTGCAGTCTAGTACGGTGCAGGTAATAGTTGTCGCAGTGGCCGATCGTCCAGGGCTTGATGGTCCTGAAATGGAACGTGGAGTCCTAGATGATACTGGGATTGGAAAGATCTTCTTCCGAAGAACATTCGGAAGCGCGGTATGAAGGGTTGCAGGCTTGGAACCTAGTTCCCAATCAGCAAATATTCTCTTGATGAATTACTTGAATTTGACATGGAATTCCCCGGGTGCCTTACCGGTAACTGGAGTCGAAATGGGCTCAGGTGGCCCGGTGGGAAGCATTGTGGCAGGAAGTACGGTTAAAGACCTGATGTCTCTTGTAAATTCCATGTCAAGCTCAAGTTCCGAAGGAGTCCATATCTTTCTAGGATCCTCAGTAGAAGGGGGAAAGTCGGAAGGCCAAGGTTCGCACAAGACAGGGTGGGGGGAGTAGGAGCTGTGGGAACGCGGCTCGACAATTCTCAATACTTTATTGATGGTGATACGAAGGTCGTATTGACCTCCAGCTTCAATTTTACAACTGGCCAACGTCATAAAATCTTGGAGCTCGATGTTGCCAAGCATAAGGATTTGTTGCTCCGCAGCAATACCCTGACTCTCCTGGATTTTGAGTTTCAAATCGTACACCGTACCAGAAAGGTTGGGGCTCAGACCGAACTCCTTGCCGGTTGGATCTTTTATAAGGAGTTGCCAGCCTCCGCGAAGCCGAAGGACCAAGTGCAAAGTGCTTTCCTTTTGGATATTGTAATCTGAAAGGGTACGGCCGTCTTCGAGTTGCTTGCCAGCGAAGATAAGTTTCTGTTGATCGGGAGGTATCCCTTCCTTGTCCTGAATCTTGGACTTGACATTGTCGATTGTATCGGAGGACTCAACTTCAAGGAAGATAGTCGCGCCGGTTAGTGTCTTCACGAAGATTTGCATGCCTCCGCGAAGCCGAAGGACCAAGTGCAGAGTGCTTTCCTTTTGGATATTGTAATCTGAAAGGGTGCGGCCGTCCTCGAGTTGCTTACCAGCGAAGATAAGCCTCTGTTGATCAGGAGGTATCCCTTCCTTGTCCTGAATCTTGGACTTGACATTGTCGATTGTATCGGAGGATTCAACATCCAGATCAATGGTCTTGCCGGTCAGGGTCTTCACGAAGAGTCGATGACATCTACGCACGCCAGGCTTGGCGACACGTAGGGCCAATGGAGTCTTCCATTGCTTGAAATCGTCACCAACACTTTCGGCTGTTTCAAGGACAGGGTTGGAGATACGAATGACTGAAGGAGGCTTCCACTGTCCCGGTTTGGCTGAAAGGCCTCGATGGCGACGAACATCTTTAGCTTCAACTTTTTGGGGGCCAAACTTGGAAGCAGAAGAGGCCAGTGGAGCTTTCCTCTGCGCAGAACTGCTCAGATGGCCTCGGTGACGACGACCGATTTCTTCATCTTTTTCTGGGATGGGCATTGAGGTGCGTGGGGCGAGTGGAGGTTCCCAATGCTCAGGATTGTCTGGAAGGCCTCGACGACGACGACCATCTTTAGCGTTTTTGGGGACAGGCTTGGAATCGACCAGTGGAGTCTTCCGTGGTTCAGGACTGCCCGGATGGTCTCGACGACGAAGCTTATTAGACTGCTGCTTCTGGGGCTTGAGCCCAATAGCTTCCACAACAAAACGAATGGCGTTGGTGAATCCCATCTTAGAATGAATCCGGAGTCGAGCTTCCAGACTGGCAAGGCTGTGAACCAGTGAAGGAGCGATAGCTATAGGTATGCAGCGAGTGGGAAATTTTTTTTTTGTAAGGATTGGAAACCAGAATTCTGTAAATTAGGTCAAGGACGCCTGGACTTGAAACTGAGATGCGGTTCCACAGCCTGATTATGTAGACCGATGAAAGAGGACAATGGAGGCTACGCGATATCAGATTGAGGCCTCAAACCTCAAGCCACAACGCCACTAGCAGGGCTGTGGGATGGATGTCACGTGTTTGAGGCCTCACAACGCCCGATGAACCTTCTGATAGGCTAGAGCTGCATGCATCACTCCACCCTGAACCAGAAAAGCCTGAACCAGAAAAGCAAATATGAACTTCCACAGCCTTGCACTATGAAATGTCCATTTTTTCATTATGAATAAGCGGACGAAGGCAAAGCTCTATTTGTCAGCTCTTGCTAGCTACCACTTTGATCTGTTGATACTTGTCGGGCTTGAAATCCGCTGACTGTGCTGCCCAATCCATGTCACACGCGAGCGGGGCTGTGAGCCTGAAATGGCACAAGTTGCACTGACAGCAACTCAATACTGTGCCCATGACTACCCTGAATCCTGTGACCTTGGATGACCAATTGATAATGCTATGAGCGACACCCTGGGAATGTTCGCGGTTTATCACTAGAAAAATCTACCAGCCAATCACCCAAACCCCCTAACCGCCTCCCTTAAGATATGATATTTCATTATATCTTTATTACAGAGATCGCGGCATAAACTGATGGGATTATAGGGCATTTCGATGCTGAACCCACTATAAAACCCAATTCAGGCACTGCGCACTCTACAAGGCCCTATATCTCCACGCTATATGCCCTAGAAACACGATATAAGGCATTTGCAATATTATAGATCTTTAAGGGTATTAGCGCTTGGACGCTAAGAATACAACTCTTATCAGGCTAACTGGGAAGTAAGCCTTTATAAATACAGGAAACAAATCTTAAAAAGGTGTGGCACTCTTTATTAAAGGCTTATAGCTTGTTTTTATAATAATAGCCCAGAAAATACAAGGGCTATAGTGGCTGAGTTTGCTATAAACGATATTATAATAGAGTTTTAATAATTAATATGTTATAATTTTATTACTTTATACTTCAATTTTTATATAATTACAAAATCTATTATATATTAATACTTTATAATATTTTGAATATTTTAATAGCTATATATTTATTTAAAATTAATAATATAGCTATAATAAATTATAAGATATTATTTTTATTATATTAATAAATTTCTAATTAAAAGTATTTACTTTTTATTTCCTTATTTGTAAAATATATCTAGTATTAATAAGTGGAATTTACTTAACTAATATAATATTATATTATATATTTTTATATATAAATTTATTAGTAATTTTCTTTTTTATAAAAGCAAATATTATAAAAAATATAATTATTAATTAATTTCTTTATTTTATTCTTTATTTTTATTACTTTTATTAAAAGCTTTTAGTGCTTTAATTTATATAAATATTATATATAAGTGCCTTTAAAGTAATTCATTTTATAATATAAGTATTAGAAATTTAAAATATATATAATTTAAGTTATTTAAGAAGTTTATTAATAAAAGAAGACTATTGCACAGCAACTGCAGGCTAGTTACTCACGTAACCACACATACTGTATTTAGCTCTGGCTATCTGTATTATACCTCTCTTAATCTATAATCTAATTATATTATAATACAACCGCATTTAATGCAATAAAGACTTAAATAAGCTCGAATTATAAGAATATAAACTAAATATTAATATATAAAAAGAATTTCGCAAGATATAATTATTTAATAATTATTATAATTATAAAAGCTTTAATTTTATTAATTTAATTTAATTATATTTTATTTACTAATTATTAACTAATTTAATATAAGATATAATTTAAAAGAATTATAAATTATAAAGCTTTAAATAAAGTTAATATTTTAAAAAAGCTTATAAAAAATAATTAATACTAGTATTTAAATATAATAGTTATTATTAAATAATTACTGGAAATTAATTTTTTTTAATTAAATTAATATTTTATTTACTTCTTTCTATTTCTTACTTCTTTTTATTTCCATTTAGCTTTAAATTTTATATCTTTAACAAATAGAGATCTTTATACTTTATTTTAAGCATGCTGCCATTGTCGGATGCCGTTCAGGAAGGATCGATTCAAGAGCTAATAAATTGAGCAAGATGAAGCTATTTACAAGAGGTCACAAGCGAGTGAAGCGTGCCAGCCGAGACGTGGAAACAAGCAGCCGCCGCAATCGTATTATCAGATAGCCAAGGCCAGCTCGCTGTCCGTTCGAATGACAATTCCATGAACAAAGCGGTGTTTGGCGTGTAATTATGCTTCAAATATGAGGGTAAAGTTAATGTAGATTGACATATCTAAAATACAAGACGTGCGGTTTAGCAGAGGGTATATAACCCTGCCTCTGTAAACGAGCTAACCTAATGAGGAGAATCACGTGTATAGCAGCTGGCATCCAAATCAATACTTAAAGCGCCATTGGAAAGAAAAACAGTGTGCCCCTGTCAACCCCTGCAACATCCCTGTTTTGCTCGCATAACATTCCTAAAACATGGGTATATGCCCAAAGGGGAAATGACAGGAGGCCAACTCTGATTAGAATACATAAGCACCCTCTCTGGGTAGACCCTAGAACGGGTGCTTATGCATTTGGGAGTTTGATTCCCTCCTAGGCCCCCTCCCCCGTACTTAGCAAGCTAATTTTTATAATTTTTATCATAAAGTAAGGCTTTCTTTTCGACTATTCTTTAGCCCCCGGCACGCATACTAAAGGCGGGCAAGAAGCACGTCCCTCTCTTGCCCCTTATAATCGCTTAAAAAAGTATATCCTCAGTATACGCGCACGCTCAGTATACGCACTCAAGGTATACGTATACGCTCCGCACGCCGTCTCGCGCCAAAGGCGCGTAACGCCGTGCCCCTGGCCCATTGAGGTCCTGGTATTAGTAGAGATAAACCCTAGAACTCCCAGAATTAGCACGATGGCTAGTTAAGGATTGATTCCCTCATTGGAATTCTGGTTTCGCTTCCACTCCCCTATTAATTTCTATTATCCATTGTCATCACAAGAATATTTTCGTTTCCCATGGCTCCCCCTGCCTTCTCTTTTCCTATAAATTGGTGACTTTCTTGGCTTCTCAGACCAATCTTCCTCCTCTCTCATCTCCCACATCACGAAACTCGAGTATAAAACACCTCTAACCAGTATCCAAACCAAAATACCATCAATGGAACAAATCGACCCCACAACGCTCGCCTGGCTACTTGATGCTGCCAAGGCGGAAGATTGTACGGCCGAAAAATTGGCTAAGACCGTCCCGGAAGTTATTTTTTTGGGGGGTCGAGGGGAACAGCCGTGGCGGGCCATTACAACCAAGGGTTGGCTTTCGCAGAAGGTTCCTATCTTCATTGATTTTCGGGAGGATAGAGGCGAGAGATGCGAAGGGTCGGAGATGAGAGATACAACGCCCAGTGCGAATCCAGCTTTGAAGTTATGGGGTCTCAAAATGAGACCAAAATTGGGATTGGATAGTGGAGAACGAGCGTGAAGGATGGGGTCATATGAAAGCGGTTGAAAAAGCTCTTCTCTGTCGAATGAGCTCAGCTTGATATATTATGTCTAATTATCCAGCTCAAGGGAAGATGAGGCAACAATTGATGTATTGTAACTACCTATTACCCTTCGAGGACCCTTTTGCCAAACCCACAATGTGATAGAGTGGTGACCAGTACTTTAAGAAACACTTCGGTCTTGCGAAGCCAACCGCAATCTATACAGCTCAAGTTCTGCTTTCATTTCTCGAAATCTCACATTCGACATAAAACTTCACAACAAAAAGATAGGAGGGCAAGGATGGCTATTTTGTTAAACTCGGGTCTCTCTCCCCACTTTCCATTCTTCGGATCTTCCCTCCAAATCTTTCACCGGATTATCATCATCCCGTGAAAAGCCACGGACGCGTCGGGTCCGGCCAAAACGGTTTCTTCTCCCTCCTCTCATTTTCCTTTACAGCATCGGCATTCCACCGGTGTTCGGGCACAAAGCGAAACGAGTTCCGTCCTAGCTGTTGCATGGCCCCGCCGTTGAGCTGTGCGTGCATTAGTTGCAAGACGTATGCAGTCGGCTGGGAACCTGCCACTTTGCTGGAGATGTCGACTAGCTCCTGAAACTCTTCTGGGGTAAATGAATCACCGGATTTTATGAGTTGAAGAAGATCGCGGTTCTGGGTTGACTTGGAATTGGACTCGTCTCTGTGGCTTGTTTTGGGACCGCCCATAGTGATGGTGGCTGGTAGAAGCTAGTTGTATTTGTGTAGTGATAATATGTTTAGTCTCAGTATAGGTGGGTTGTGGATGATGAGGCATTGACCAAGTTAGCTCGCTCTTTCGTTTTGGGATGAGGAACAAACAAGAACCTAGACTTGCAAAATAAAGGTTCATTAAATAGAATATAGCAATCTCATGGTATCCAGTGATATGATTCACAGCATGCCAGCAATGCGCATGGGCTCTACTGGCTGACTTTTCAGGTAGCTGAATAATAAATGTATTGTGCCATCTTCTCATTTTCTCGCAATGTTGTTATCATTCTCTTCATGTGAATCCCAAGTTGGGTTGCATTTGTAGACGTCTACGAGTTATTCAAGCGTCATGATGAAGAGGAATGATAGTTGTCCAGAAATAGAAAAGAAGTCTATCATGTCAGGTCACATATTGTAAAGAAGTGCACTTCACGAGAGCTAGAGTAAACCAACGATCTGTGTTTCTAAACCCCACCTCTCCTTCCCCGTTAATGCTTAAGAGGCAATCTCCCTTCCCTATAAGCATCCTCCACGCTAGCCCTATTATCCAGGTTTCTCGGATTAAACCTAAACAGATTCGGACCGAGCTGTATAATCGCGCCAGCAGCTACACTCGCCCTTACATGTTGATAATAATACGACTCAAGCGAGAAAGTATCATCAGCTTCCGGATAGCCAGCAGCTTTCAGCCTTGCCTGTTCTACACGGACAACCTCTGCCATTTCCTCAAGAGTGACAGGGATTCCTGTCTCCATAAGATACTCGAGCGTGTAGCGCTTAGTGGCACCCGAGTTGACCTCCTTGCCGTAGATTTTGTCGAGTCTGCTGGGTAGTGTGGATCGAGACATGGTGGTGGGCTGTTGGCTTGTTGTGATATATGTCCAATGGGCAATTTTCTGGCTTTCGTGATGAAGCTGTTGTTTCTTACTTTGAAAGTGTTTGTATTATAGGATATTTTGAAGACTGAAGTGAAGGAGAAATGGAGAGAAAGAGACAACAAGGGAACTTAAATAATTGTAAAATGAAATGCTGAATCACGATTGTGAGGGGAGGAACTTCTGATCGTCAGGATGATTCAACAAAGAACTAGAAAAGTCCAACGATTTCTATTTCATGTCCTGTCTCTCGTCAGCACCACACCCTCCCATTCCTTCCCCTATTCCACTAATTGAACATCCTAATAATTGTTCAGTGGATGCTCAGGAACAAAGCGATACAGCATTGGACCCAGCTGCTGGATGCGCCCGATCTGGACTTCATATTCCAGATACACCATCAGCTCATCGATGTGGAATTCTTGCCAATTTCCTCCGTCCTTGTTCTCCTCGACTACGGCTTCGACCAGCTGTTCCAGGTAACTTGTTCCCCGGTGGCTTTGAGTTGCTCTAGGGTCAGCTTCTTGCCTTCGCCAGTGCCGATTTTTTGTGCGACGCCGTTGGGCCGTTTGGGATATGGATCCATGGCGGTTGGAATGGTTATCAGCCGTTGCTATTGTTGTGAAGTAGGAGAGATATCTGAGCTTGAATTTAACTTCGTCGTCCAGGTATGTTGTTGTTTTGGACTTCGTGAGATTGCTCCTCTGTTTCTGGTATAGAAGGAAGGGAGGAGAAAATCGTGAGACTTGAGGGAGGAGGACATTTTTATAGCACGACTTGCAGTAATCTAAACTACGATAATGTGATGTCTGGCTTGGCTTGGTCACCGGCGCCTCGTATCTGACTTCCGTTGATTATTCACAGCAATGCCTTGAGAACAACTTCCTTACGAAGTAGCACAGCTCATCCTATGATTTAGTGAAGCCTTCACAATTATTCACTCGCCTGCTCATTATTTTCACAATAGATGTAAGAATGAGGCTTACAATATAATCAGCGTGTTGTACGGAGAGAAGCTCCTGAGTTGAAATGAAGTGCTGATGCATGAGAAGTCACACGCCAGAACTTTCTGCGCACCCCGCGGAATAAGCTGAAACGCAGGCCGCAGGACGCAACAGCGTGTGCCCGCTAAATGACCCTGCTCTCAAAGTTTGTACCCTTTCAATAAGATCAAAAACGGAAAGGTTTCGAAGCCAATACAACATCAAACCTCACTGAGCGCAAGTTTATAAACATTCCTTGCGAATTGATGAAGCGTTGTTCGATGGGGGAAAGAAAACAGCGGCTACGTTCGGACCATGAAACGCTGAAGCGAGGCCCGCTTAGCCTGGTTTTCAACCCCCTGGAAATGCCCCTCGTGTCCGGGACTTCACCCTTTTCTCATCTTAATATCCGGACCGATGGGTCGCAACATCGTGAGATCTTCTAATTTCCTTCTGTAGGTATCCTTCTCTTCTTTCATGTCGCGCTCGGTTTTGGTATCTGTTTGAGATACGTCCTCTCGTTTGTGCCTTGTTGTTTTTGCGTTTGCTTGCTGCGCCGCGTGCCTTGATCATGGTTCGAGTCATCCAACTCCTTGCCCTCGCGGCCCTGTCTTTTGCCCCGGTCAATGGCATCGAGCTGGATGTGAATAGCGTTGGTAAGGCTTCCTCTCTGCAATTGATGTCTATGCTGACATCTCCAGACTCCATCAAATCTGCAGCATCATCCCTCGCCAGCCAACTCGTAGGATACTACACCGCGAACTCGACCGGACGCGAGAATGGAACTCTCCCCTCTCCCTACTCCTGGTGGGAAGCAGGTGCTCTCTTTGATACTCTGATACAATACTCCCACCTGACCGGCGACACACAATACAATTCCCTCGTGTCCACCGGTCTCCTCAGTCAAGTCGGCAAAAACAGCGACTTCATGCCCGTGAACCAATCCGCAACAGAAGGAAACGACGGCCAAGCAACATGGGCACTGGCCGCGATGTCTGCCGCAGAAGCACAGTTCACGAATGGGACACAATGGCTTGCGCTGGCAGACACCGTGTTCAACATCTTGGTTCAGCGATGGGATTCCGCGACCTGTTCGGGAGGACTGAGATGGCAGATATATTCTTTTGCGCAGGGCTTCTATTACAAGAACAGTGCTTCGAATGGGCATTTCTTCCAATTGGCGTCGAGACTTGCGAGGTATACTGGGAATGCAACCTATTCGACGTGGGCGAACACGGCGTATGACTGGACGAAGAGTACGGGGTTTATTGACAGCAAGTTCAACGTGTATGACGGTGCGCCTATTGTTTCAAGCAATTGCACGGATGTCTCCAAGGTCCAGTATTCATACGTGGCTGGAACGTATATCACGGGCGTGGCACATATGTACAACATCACGAACGGGAACTCGAAGTGGAAAACGGAACTAGATGGGCTGCTGAACCAGACGCTGAGCGTGTTCTTCAGTAATAAGGCCGCGACGGAGGTGGCGTGCGAGAAGAGCGATGCGTGTACGGTGGACATGATGGCTATGAAAGGCTTGCTGGGCCACTGGCTTGCGGATGCGGTGCAGATGGCGCCGTATACTGCTAATACTGTCCTGCCACTGTTGACGAGCTCTGCCCAGGCTGCTGCGAACGCTTGTGATGGGACGGGCTGCTCGTTGTTTTGGGATGGGAAGCATATGGGGATTGATGGTAATGGGACTGGGGTGGTGGGACCGTCGATTGATGCGTTGAGCTTTGTGCAAGGCCTTTTGTGGCAGGAGGCTGGGCTGACGGGACTGCCTGCTACGGTTAATGGTACTGCTGTTGCCGCCAATTCGACCTCGACCGCATCTGGGGCGGTGGCTTCGTCTACTAAGAAGAGTGATGGGGTTGCGATGAGAGCAGGGATGGCTTTGTTGGTTAGTGTATTGGGGTCGATGATGTGGTTTGTGCTGTGAGTATGGATGTATCGATGCCGTCGTTGTAATGTGACCTGGGGGAAAAGTTGTTCCCATTTCTTATCGTACATAGAAGGACGGTAGTGCCGAAGATACCCCGTTTGGAATTCATTTCAAGTTTCTGCCACTTGCCTGTCTCTGACTAAGAAATGTTTTCAAGCCTCACTCCTGAGCTTGGTCTGAGTATAAGTTGATCTGGGGCAAACGAGTGACAGGATTTGTGTTTTCTCGAAAGTTATTGCCTGTTATTCTAGGGGTTTCCTCTTTCTGAGTTTCTTTACTGACCTCTGAGCTCTTCTCCCCATGAGAATCTGAATCAGAAGCGCCAAGTTACCCATTAATTCTCCCGAAACCAACGCTCATGCTCTTTGTCACCATTCATAATGCTCTTATTGCCGGCTCAAAGACACGTCTTGGCAATCGTAGCAGGGAAAACAGCCTTGGTTGGATCAGCAATGCGCATCTCTTGCTTGAAGAGCTTTTCGCCCCTTGCTACCTCCCGAAGAACCTCACCAATGACCCAATCAACATCCTCTCTCGAACCCATAAACTTGAACAGGTAGTCTCCCGGACCACTGTAAACATTTGGAAAGAGGGAACATTTGAGGCTTGGCGATTGAGTGTGATGCTCACGACGAGTATCAAACTCACGAACCTTCCACCAAACCATCCGATGCTGGCCTACTCCAGGGAGGTTGATCGCGAGGATCTCAAAATGTTGGTCAACTGGGATGGCTTGTGAGCGGCGAGCCAATTGGATGGTCGGTTTCTTGTCTCCTTTCCATACAATGGCCCCCGTGTCAAAGGGAGCCAAAGCGGTGGTGGATTGGTACTCGGTGTAAGCATCCGTGGCCAACCTAGTATTGCCTACAAGGGGATAGTGTGGAGCAGCGGCCGTGTAGTTCTTGAAGCCAGCACAGGCGTCGAAGTCTTGGATATCGTGGTCGAATGGCCCCGCTTCCTTCATGAACACAATGACTTCGTTCAAAGCAGGACATCCCGGGAAAACTTTCTCTGTGCTTCCCGCCAGAGCGAATCCATGCAGAACTTGCAGCTGGCGTGTAAGTAGGTCGATCTGCGGTCCGAGAGTTGGCTGGAGGATAGAAGGGACATCATCTCCATGGCTGCAGGGACAAGGGTAAAAATTACCACTGGTGCTCGAATCGCGAACGTCGACTGCGACTCGATGAATCTCAATCCCAGTTTGCAAAACGGAGATCATTATTCCAAGGCAAACATGGTCGCCGAAGTACACGATATCTGCAAGTGGGTTGAACCACATGGGATTTGTCCACACTTTGCGCGCGTAAGGATGCGGCGAGGGACCTTCAGGGCGATAGCCGTTGAAGTTGACGAGCTTATAGACGGTCTTCGCTTCGGAGTGAGCTTCTTTGGATACGTAGAATAGGGCCGGTGCTGGGTGGCGAGAGCTGAACGTAAGGCCAAATCCAGAGTGTATGTTCAGATTTCTGCCTGGAGAGATGGTGAGGGGTGTTGTGAAGTATTTCTCTGACTCTATCTCGATCAGGCGGGTAACCATGCATGATGTCGTCCAGATGAGACGTCGTATTTCCAAGGGAAATTCGCTGAAGCAGGTGAATTCGGTCAGAGGCTCGGTTTCCGAGGTGGTTATGATGAATTCGAGATTTAAGTCGAGAATGGCAGAAGGAAGTATGTCACCACAGATCCTAAGGAGATCAGTCAATAACAAAGATGACGTGGTAATCGACGGGGGGCATACTCGGGTGATCCGGGATGGAGATGCAGATATTGAACACCACATCCAGGGTGAGTGCAAGGAATTCTCGAGCGCTGACGACGGCTGAAACTGCAGCTCATTTCAGACTCCATCTCGTTGCTGTGTTTGTGGGAGGACGATCGTGGGTGCTGTTCACTCGTTCTCTACACTAAGGTTGGTGGAAGATGTTTGCGGAAGGAACAGTTTGGTTTCCGACAAGACGCCTTCAGAATAGATATTCCACAGCCGAACTTCGAAGAGGAGAGCCTTGACTCGAAAAGTCAAGGTGCGTCTTTGTATTTCTTACCAAAAATTATATTCAACAATTCAAGGGTGAACCGCTGACTAGTTGCGGGATGCGACGCGAACTTTGTTCTTATGCACTCGAAGAATAATTTCATTTCAAAGGCTCCATGCCCCCTTCCTATCATTGAGTCCACCCGCAATTCAACCCGTCTTCAAGAGCTATTTTGCAAAAAGATTGTACTTCTCACATCTGGCTTGACCTTCTCCAAAGCACCAAAGATCTCTTCCCAAACTTTTCCTCGGACTGCCACGCCCTCTTCTCTTCTGACAAAATAACCTAGTCTGCGGAAGTTCGTCTCCGATTTCTGCCAACATCTCCTCTCAACTTACTTATATACCCTCTGGTGATTCAAATATTTCCCATGGCTCTCCTTCCTCCTGCGCGCAGCATCCACATAGCATAAACTCGGTGTTACGTCAGCAGCCGCTAGGGAAGGACTACTTAGCTAGCTGCCTCCCATAGAGAATACATCATCTTTCTGCCCCCTACTCTGGCCTTTGCCATCGTTGGAGACCCCCCGGGGTGTCCATCCCGTAACACTCGGCTTCTCCGGCGTCCTCGCAAGGAAATACTGCAGCAATCGCAATGCTAAAGGTAACTGTTCATCAACCCCCATCCCAGTCTTCACGAACCCAGGGTGACATAATTCACAATCGCTTGTGGGTTACCATCAATTACTGGTGTCAAGTTCGCCGACTTGATAACAATATATGCATCAAATAGCCTGCTTACACGACAGCGATCGAACTCCTTCTCTGCGAAACTGGCTTCCGTATGCATGACGCTCAAGATCTTCTCTAATTTGCGCTCAGGGAACAAGGCTTGTAAGTGTGCATCGCTGCTCACGATTACAAGATGCGGCGGAGGATTTCGTGGGTTCGCTTGGCTTGTATTGGTGAGGTGAGAGAATAATACCTAGACAACTGAGAAGAACGGTGGACAGCAAATTGACTTGTAGGGATTTCGCCCATCCATCGGCGCTTTTATATCTCAACGAACTGAAATGGGCAACTCGAAATTCTCTAATCCGTTTCGTGTATTTTTGCTAGTGACAAATCCTGTCATTGTTTACACTTCAAAAAACGACGGCTGCACCACTCTAAGCAAGACAAACTTTCTCCGTGCCGATACTCCCGAGTCCCGTCTAAGGGGAGTTGGTAAGCTCCGCCCGAGTGCAGACCCGTAGTTCAAAATCTGTTCGTAAGTTGATCACTAGTTCACGCAAAAGGGGGCCGCAAAATGTACCCTTAATTAAATAAGCTTTTGACTCATCATGGCCCCTGAGCCCCTATATTTTTTTTTGCCGAATCGCGGGGTCAGCGGTCGAGATTCGGCGTTAACCCGGGATGACGTTTTCAGGTTCCGCGAATGGAGATTATCCGCGGACTGGATGACCGTGACGTGACTATTTATCAACACTCTCTTCCTTCCTTCCTTCCTCCCTCCTGCCACAAACACCAATCTTCAATTTTCTCTGACAAATTGACCCTTCTCCCCCAAATCAACGAATACAACCTGCACAATGGCAGACAAGTCCAAGATCGCAGTTCTCGACGTGAGTATCCTCTCTGCTGCCCCTCAATTACCCCGCATTCGCTCTCCTTGACCTCGACATCTTCAATTGAAGACCTCGCGCTGACGAAAGACTATACTAGACCTCCCTCATCGACCGCCTCCCCGTCTCCTCCAAAACCCTCTTCGACGCCAAAGCAGCCAAATCCCTAACCTTCGAATCGATCGCCCAACAACTCGGCCGCAGCGAGGTCGCAGTCGCAGCCCTCTTCTACGGCCAAGCGCAGGCCTCGCCCGAAGACGTCACCAAGCTCTCCTCGATCCTCGGCGTCCCCGAAGCAACGCTCGCAGAGCAACTGCTGGGCTTCCCGGACCGCGGGCGAGCGGGCCCCATGCCCCCGGTCGAGCCGCTGATCTACCGCCTGTACGAGATTGTGCAGAATTACGGGTATGCGTACAAGGCGGTGCTGAACGAGAAGTTTGGCGATGGGATCATGAGCGCGATTGCCTTCTCGACGAAGGTGGAGAAGGAGGTGGATGAGGCTGGGACTACCTGGGCGGTTATCACGCTGAGGGGGAAGTGGTGAGTTTTCTCTTTCTCTGGTGTGTGCGAGACGGGAGTCGTGCTGACGTGTGATGCGACAGGCTTCCGTTCACGAGATTCTAGATGCATATATGGGTACGGGTATGGGATTGGGATGGGACGGGATGGGAAGGATTGGCATCAAATTGGAGGTGAATATGGAATACGGAATTAAAAATCGTTACTTGGTGGATACATTGGTCTGGCTGCATATTAATCAAGAAGAGCGAGCTGAAATTCTAGCATCACGTTCGCTCTGGTCAATTCTCTTATTGTCGTAATGTCCTTTGGGTTTCTTCGTCTCTCGCAGCATGGGAGAAGTATCAGCAGGCAAATGCTTGCTCTTCCTCTTCTCTTCAACCAAGTTCACCATTTTAATCAATTCAAATTGCCAAAAGCTCGATGCTGTTGTTTGTCTCACGGCCCAAATATTCTGCCGTATCTTGAATTGAGTGGGATATTTTGCCTCGAATGAGGAGCCTTTTGCCGGCTGGGATATCGTTCCCCGCGTTCTCAAATTCTGAGGCTGTGGGTTCCAAGCTGAGGGAATGAAGCTTTTTCATCTCGTTCCATCGAAAGATCAGTTGCCGCAAAGGCTTCTTGAAATTGTCCCTAAATGGGCTGCGCTGAAGAAAGGACAGTATAAAATAAATTCTTGTTGTTGTTCTGTCAAGAAGGTGCCTCGAAAGTCGAAAGAAAGAGGAGCACAAAAAACCTAGCCTCACTGTATCATCTCGAAAGAATTCGTCGCACGAAATACACCGCCATGTCCCGCCAAGCTTACGAGGTAACCAACAGAACAACTCAGTCTCCATGTGCTCTTGCGATGGGTGAAGACTAGTACTTCAGGAGAAAGGGGTCGCAGCATTCGCGCTCACTAGTCGCGAGCTGAGCGTAGCCAAGACGGGGGGCTGGCTGCTGTGGCGTTCCGGCCGGAGCAAGCGCGGCGATGGGAGCTGAACTGTGGAGAGCTCCCTGCACGTCGGTCTTCTAGAAGGAGCAGCTGACGCTTCTAGAAGACGGCCGGCTGTTTCAGAGCAACGGGTGCGGACACGGCTGAGGCTTCCACGGGTGATAGGGGGATTTACGCGGATGGGAGTGGGGAGGGGGAAAGGGGGTAGCGAAGCATGACTTGCTTGACACTATCTGGCAGGAGTGAATATTACCGCACAGAACACATGCAGTAGGAGAACAGGAACAGGACATGACAGATGTTATTATATTCGAAAACGACCTCCAGCAGCCGGAACGCTGAGATGACACCAGTATGCAATCATATGTTTCTGAGGAAAGGTTCGCTAGACGCGCCTCCAGCGCCGATTGTGCTCCTTTGCTTGATGTGTTGCCTAGGCCTGCTGCGTGTGCTGCTAAACGTCGTAACTCCAACAGCGAAAGATCCAGAGCGTATGTACAATATGGTACACGCTTTTCAAAGTCTTGTGACTTCCCTTGCCAGGGCCAGTTCCCAATGTAATATCCTTCCTTCCTGCTACCCATATTAAATCCATCGAAAGTCGTGCCCACGCGTAATTCATCTCTCATGCCTCCTCATCACCACCACATATCCTTAACCCTCGCCCGCTCATCCGGATCCCCATCTCTCGCGCCCCTCGTCCCACACCGCAACCTCGCCTCCCTCCTCTGCATATCGAACAGAATCTCCTTAACCATGACCCTCCTCTCCTCACCCACCGTTTCCATCGCCGCCTTGCCCCAAGGCCCCTCATACCTACTCAGTCCCTCCTCCTCGATCTCCACAATCCACTGCGCGACCCTCCCGCTCAAAATACTATCCCACATGCCCTCTCTCCTCGGACTGCTCAACAACAAACGAATCGCTTCCCGTCTGAGTTTCCGATCCCGGCACTTCGTCGCAACCACGAATAATGGCGGCACGATACCGAGATCCATCGCGAAAGAGGCTTTGATATGCAGGAACCCATCCTCTTCCCGATAGCCTGGATGGTGTAACGCCAGGCCCGGGAAGTGAGGACGGTTCATCGGTCGACCGTCCGCTTTATGCCGACATGCGTTCACATCGCCACACCTCTCCTGCGCAAGTAACAACTCCTCGTCCACAACAACCTCTTTCGCCAACTCAACAATCTCCTTGAACAGGGGGACGAAGTTATCGAAATCCATCTCCGTCTTGCTGAAGCCCATGATGAAGAGGATGGTGGTCATGAGGTGGATCATCCTCAGGACGTCGCGGCCGGCCCGCTCTGTGTTTGAGACGTTGGCGTGGCGGCGCGATTCGAGGAGAGGGTCGAAGGCCTTCTCCCATTGGGAAAGCTGCATTTTGAAGCCGTGGCCGGAGGATTGGACGGATTTGGGGAGGATGTTGTTCGGCCCTGGGTGGAAGGAGGAGAGGAGCTCGTTGAAGCGCATTATACGTTCACAGAGGGAGTCTAAGGCCTGCCGCGCTTCTTGGGAGGTGGCGAACTTTAGAGGGATGTGTGCGTCCATTGACGCTGTAGAGGCGGCGTCTGAAGGAGAGGATGGGGAGGTTGGGGAGGAGGGATCCCCACGCTGGGGAGAGAGCCGGATTACGTAGGGGTGCGGGAAGTGGAAGGCCATGTCGTAGGACTTGGCTTGGATGGCTAGACGTGTGAACATTTGCACCAGCTCTTCTTCGACTATGTCGTCTTTGCGGCGGGTGAGAGGTTGTCCTGATTCCTGCCGTCGCTCTTCGAGGAGGCCGAGGCCGCTTTGGATTTGAAAGATCGCGGCTTTGTGGTCCCCGGTGAAGGATTGGAAGCAGGTGAAGAGCACGATTGATATCAGGATCGTCCGTTGCGAGCGCGTTTCTTGGTTCTCCAGACTCTCTCGTAATCGCGTGAGAGCTTTCCCATATTGCTGTAATGCGAAATTGTAATGATTTGTTGCTGTGTCGAAGGAATTGTTGTCTGGTGAGCCCGGTGGTGATTCCGAGGCCTTCTCTAAGGTCTTGTATAGAGCTCCCAATGCGACCACTGCGTGCCGTATTGAGGCTTCGGAGTGACTTTCTTGTAATACACTTCTCGTCCAGAACTCAGAGTCGAAGAACCCTGATAGCTCGCTGGCCGTGTGTTTCTGGAACACCTGGAAATACTGCCCCTCTTGCGCATTGAACGCCAACCCGCCGGGTTTATATGAAGCCGGGGAGAGGATCCTCACGGTCGGGATTCGAGGGTTTGCTGGTACACTTCGCAGAGGATGCCTCCTAGCCAGCTCTGCCGAGTTTGGCGGCGAGGATGAGGAGGATGAGGAAGTCGATATTATGGTGGCAGTCGAGGAGCCCGGCCGTGGTGCAATTGGAATCGCAGCCTCCACCGTCCTCTTATATGCTGGGTATCCATCGCAGTGCCTGCCCGATCGCACACATTTATTGCACTGCGGCCTGGTCTCGTCGCATTTGACTCTGCGATTCCTGTGCCCCAGGGCGTAAGTAGACGCGCGGGAGACCTCCAGAGTGGGGAAGGAGTCTACTCACTTGCAATTGTTGCAGCCAGTCTTGACCTTGGGCTTACTGGCCCTCCGCTGCCTCGCGGGCTTCACTTTCGCGGCGCTGCCAGCAGATTCCATCGCGTAGTATTGTGCCGTCTCTTTGCATAGGCATTTCTCGGCGGCGGTCGCACTGTCGTCCTTGCAATCCAAGCTATTTCGCGTGTTTTGCTCTGTTCTGCTCTGTTCTGTTCTGTTGCGTTTCGTGTCTCGAGCTGTGCGGGATCTGTAAGCTTAGCACGGTGTGGTTGAGATCAGACGAAAACGAGCGTCAGTGAGCAGACATCGTCGGTGCCACGATCACGATGGGGGTGCCCGATGAGGAGAAGTGAGACGCGGCAGTCAGCATGTTACACAGACATCCTCAAGTAATCATGCGAAGATCTGAACCCTGGGTGAGGTGTGTCTCGGTCGACTGCGCAGAGATCCCCGCGCCGGCCCTTGAAAGGGAGGACGGGTAACTGACCCTGGCTTTCCGTGTCGGCGACCTCCAGCTCACTGCTCACTGCTCGCTGCTCATGCTCATGCTCATTCTCGATGCTCACTGCTCACATCGTAACAAGCGCCGTGCCATTGCCGATGCCTGACATCGTTGCGAGATGAAAGCTTTTACGTACATGTGCGTGTATTCCCCTGGGGAGATCAACTCCGTGCAGCAGATGGCGCCACCCCAACAAGACTCGGCGATTGCCTTCGGGGCACTAAATCGAAAGTTACACAAGACACAAAGAGGCACCGAATCTCATGCAGCCAGCTGCAATGGGCGGAAGAGGCACAAGTGGAACAAACGTCGCTGCAACTGTCGAGACAATGAGTTCACAAGAGTGAAGTGTGTCCCAGGAGGGCGGGGCCAGCATTTAAGGCTTGACTGCGTACTCGGTCGTGCGCCCATCCCCATCAAAAAATATATTGCGCTCCCGGCATGACCACAGCCCTGATGGCTTGCAGCTCACCCTCGCGCGTCATCTGGGCGGGAAGGATCGATAAACGAATGGGAGCCGCGATAGTGGCAAAGGGGGGGGAGGCTGCTGCAATTATCACAGGGCTGAAATCCCGCTGAAGCCTGGAAGCACGTAGGGCTGACCGTGCCCCTGAGCTCCAATCCCAGTGCTCGACTTGCCCTTCTGCATGTTGGCCAATGGCTACGCTGCTTTGATGCTGCAGAGAGAGGTTCTCTTGCAACCCCATTCGCGACCTTGAGTGCGGGTGCGGAAGTCTGGGAGGGAGGGAAGCCACTCCTGCACTGAGAAGTCGGTGTGAAGCAAGAGTTCTGTGCGAGATGGCCAACCAGGGAGGTTTTGAGAGCCCCCACGTTTCTGTTTGTTGGTGAGAGAGTGCAGGGTATTCGCACAAAAGCCACAATAGCAGCAACACAGAGTCCTGTCTCGTCACAGGTCGACCCTTTTCCCATGACTGGCGCCAGAAGCATTCCAGAATGTTTCCACAGGCCGTCTTGACTTTTTCCATGGCAAGGCCGAGAGGTGCTGAACTGTGAGTGGTGTCGAGACGAGCATTGTGGCTGCGTGGCTGGGGCTGTGGCTCGAGGCTGAACGAAACCTCAAGGCAGAAGTCTCCCGGCGTTTCAGAAGTCTCCTTCCTCTTTGCACTTCAATTTCTTCTCATTCAAGGTCAACTTCCATTCAGCCGCGGCCGAATTCAGTGCATGTTGGCAGTAATAACTATCTACTGAAGACATGACGGCATACACTATCACGTGGGGGTCTTAAATCTAGTCCTGGGGCCAACATATGCTAAACAAATTTGGATTCTTACAAGGTATCGAGTAAAGTTGTCTTGAAGTAATTTTAAGGGAAATTTTCTTTCCATGTCACGCTTTCCATGACAGTCAGGTCACAGCACAGCGATTTCTAACATTTAGCAAGCACGTGCCCCAAGGCTAAATGGAAGGCACTTTAAGTTCTCCTGCGCTTCTTCAAATTCTTGTTCTACTTCCCTCCGCCTCCTCCCCTCCTTCCAATCACTTGTTGCGGGTCAAAATGTTGTTTCCAAGACGGAGTCCTTCAATCATAAAGCGAAGTATAGCTCTTCGACCGGCCTTGGCCCTCCTGCCCCTCCTTTCCTTCAGTAAGAAGCCACACCCAAATCACGCCTGCTTTACTAAACCCAGATACAGATCATGTTCACGCACTGGATTGTTCTCTGGGAACATATTTAATGTCCAATCAGCAAGATGCTACTAGCCTCGGCCAATGCGTAAATGATGGGTTCTTCCACAACGTGACCATTGCTCCCTCAGCAACAGGAGACATCAGCTCCATCAACCTTGGAGAAGCCAGTTGGTATATAATTGCAGAGAACAGCCCCCTGCCTGCGGGTCCGGACTTCAAATCAGATGGACGAGTCGACAGAATATTGCACCGAAACCTCAGCGCCTTCCTAACCCTTTCTACACCAGATATGAAGGACTTGGTATTCCTAATTGAACTCGACCTTAACCTCAAAGATCTCTCCTCATTGGAAATAATTACTATGAGCCAGTCGTATCGTATGCAAGGAAACACTCCTTCAGCTAATACAGATGGAAAGAAATCGCCATCACGGGGAATCCGTTGCTCAACTTGGGCGGGGGCCTTGGCTGAGCTGGAGCTGGAGCTGGCCGAGTGCCAATGTAAGTACCATGATCCTCGACTGGCCGTTCGGTAATGCTTTCTTGTAAGTCTGATCCCGACTCCGTGTTGTGAGGTTTGTAATAGCCGAGAAGTGGCTTTAGTTAACCACTTGTTAATAGTACGAAGATATTATATACTCAGAGGGCTTAGTAAAAGTTCGTTGTACTATCTACTCTACCGGTTTTATTTGAGAACTATTTTTTTGTTTTATAATTATTTAGCTATTAGTGGCATTATATAAACATACTACTATAAATCGTTTTACCTCTAATAATCGTGCGTACTTTTCTTATCTGCTAGGGAATCACGTACGCTAAGGGAATCTCGCTTAGCCTTACTCAGATAGCAACTTCTCGCTAGACAGAATTCATCAAGCTTCACAACACACTCAAGATTCCAGCATGCCCAGCATTATCCTAATAATATCTCGGCATTACAAGGACTTTCTTCCCTATATATTCTGTCAGGTCTATTGCAAATGAAAGGACTTCGTTAGCAAATGCTCCTTTATTATTATCCACTTTGATAATACTAATTGCTAGCACTTTTGGGTTTGGATTATTGGCAGGAATAAGTAATCGAATATAACTCCGTAGTAGTCAATATAGCTAAAGTAATAAGTAATAGTTAGCTAACAAGAAGAGCATGTAATACTATAAACAATGCCTCCTTAGTTTAGTAGTCTTTTTCCTTTTATTACCTATACCAAATACTCATCTCACACGACTAGAATATTACCCTCCTTACTATATAGTGCCCGATCTATAAGTCTTGTGAGCTCTAACCTTCCTGGCTACGGAAAATCCACAATCTTCTCCCATAATATTTTCGGGAAAAATCTTCTGAATCGATTCTAGCAGCCCCCAAATCTGAATTCTGAGCGGCTTGGTAGGTAGTGGGGGATAGAGACAATAACACGAGTTGTGGATGCAGGGAGGAATAAAAGGCTCAAGAGCTATCGAGAGCTGTAGGTCGCTCTCAGTTGAGAGCTAAAGCAAAGTCGTAATGAGCAGTGTTTATGTGAGTGACAGAGTTGAGCCGAGCTAAAAAGTTAACCTTCCGGGGACTAATTATATTTGTTGCTAGGACATGCGCATACTAAGTCACAAGCCAAACAGGATTGCTACCGAACAATACCTACTGCTGGATACTTTACAATTGCTATTATACTCAGCACTTATTATACGCAAGGTAAGAGTAGTACTTACTACCATAAAAGACCCTCTTATTCAGTGATAGTTTAGGATATGTACTTCAACCAAGACATTTTACTCTTGCGATCATATCAAAAGCCGAAATGTACCAATTACTACTTGCCTGACTCCTGCGACTTATATTAAAACCTATGAGAAAGCAGAGGGCCCAAATAACTGCAGTGACACGGCCTGTAACACGCCACCCTCCTCTTAACGACAATAGTGTTGTGGATCGGCTGAATGAAAGGGATTTGTCTTGTATAGCAGAGGGTATTTCGTATTTCGGGCACAATGAAAGGCAATGGCGAAGAATTACCGCTTGCTAGTTGCCGTTAAGTAGGCGGAACCAAGCCTTGCGGTCGTCTTGGAAAGTTTGATGCTGTTTGTATTGTATTTGAAGGTGGCAACTACAATCTGTGGGTGCCAGGCATGTGGAGTGATAATATTTCTCCTTGATCTGTCTTCTGGGAACCGCCAAGTGAGGGCGTTTGGAACGACGAAGAAAGAGAGGAAAGAGAATGGTTTTTAGCAGGACGACTGCGGATATGTTCTGTTCAACGATCAGACAGCGCCCAGCTTCGTTTGATGGAGCTGTCGACGTAGGGCTATATAATACTGGACCATTCCAGTATGATTTAGTCGGATGGGAGGCTACGAAATTCATACGCAGGAGTCGAGTGGAGTCGAGTGGTTTCTCACAATCTAATAGATGGCTTGCGCAGTCGATGTGCCATGTAGCCAACTGCTTAATGTGAATGAAATGTGATATGAATACAATGAATGTTTCCAGCAACCGATCTACCCGGTGCCTCCAAATCCATCATTGCCTTCTTCACTGCCCTCTGCTCCTGCTCTGCGAATATGCCTTCCCGGTCTGAATCAAGATGCTCTGGCGGTGTCCTGTCTCTGCGCCGTTTCCTTACCCAAGGTTCGGTGCTCCTGACCGGCCCTTTACCTTGTTTCAGTCTCCTCGCTTTAGCTTCGGCACGCTCGAGAGGTAAATAATGTTTCCGTCGAGATGTGTATGCTTTGGGTCAGATCAGTGAATTTCGCACCAAAAACTTCAGAACCAAGTATATTATTCCCTTGAAGATTTCTCCTATCGGCAGTTCAAATGGTATTACGGAAAAACCTTTCCTCACCTATTTAGGATACAGGATAAATCATTTTCCCCAAGAAAGCAACATATCTGTTCAATCGTAGCACGAATCGTTCTTCCAATAGGGATCACGTCTCCTACGGCAATATTCCTCCGTCCACCGCTTGTCCTCTTCCTCTTCCTCTTCCTCTCTCTGCAGATCAAAAAGGAGCATTTCCACATTATACGCGTTGCAATCCTCTTCATTATCAAATTCGACTCGGTCATCATCGCTGATCCAAGATTTCTTCGGGAGTTTTGTGACCTCGACAGTCCATCCACAGTCGCGCATCTTTATCCGATAATCGCTTACATCCTCTGCGGCGTACGCCTGGAAATTGACAATGATCGTTTTCAGTAATGGGATAGCCTTGAAGCGCGTGTCGAGCAAATCTAGTGCCTCTGCAGTGATAGGCGAATCGCCGAACGCGCAGTTCGCGGAATCTGGTGGAAACAATAGTCTTTAATAATAATCTTTCTTTATTTCCAATTATTAATAACTAATTAAAGCAAATATATTCTAAATATAAATCTATATAATAGTTTGTTTCTTATATTATAATTTAGAGCTTTTTTATTTAATTTGTAAAACTTGGCTCTTAATATTTGCTTTAATTTAAAAAGTATTATAAGATAATATATAATATTTTAATAATATTTAAAGTAGTTATTTTTAAGGAATTTAAAGAAATAATTGGGTTATTAAGTAAAGTATAAGAATTATGTAAAAAAAAAGCCCTAGTTTTTATTATATAACTTCTAAATATTATTATTTTTTAAAGGCTTTAATTTATTTTTAAATATAAAAAGTTTTAATTATTAACTTTTAATATTCAAATAATATTATTCGAGTATTTAGTAATAATTTTAGGAATTTTATTTTTTAAAATAATATTATATAATTAATTAGAAATTTCTCTTTTTAACTAAATCTTTTCTTTAATAAATATTATTTTAATAGTATTAAGCTTTATTACTAACTAATTATTAATATTCTTATTATTTTTAATATTGCTTTCTTATTAAAAATATTTTAATAACTTATTTATAGTAATATACTTAATTTCCTTAATTTACTTAACTTTAAAGCCAAATAATTAAGTTTATATTAGTTAGCAAATAACTAGAGTTGTGGAAAGATTAGTAGCCGCTTTACTTAATTATATAACAAGTATATTAGTATCTAGCTTAAGGATAAAGTAAACTTTAAATAGCTAGAATAATAACTTTCTGTTAGTGGGCTCGCAAGGGCCGGGACCCGAAGGTGGAGAAACATATGGCCATCCCGTGCTCAAAGGATTCAATTCTCTGAGTTTGCACCACCTCTCTCACACATCGAAGAAGGAGTTAAAGAGCGTGATGTTTTCCATTTCAAGAAACTAAACTACCTAGCTAGCAATTCCATCCAGTCTCCAATTTAGACCCACTACTTCAAAGCAGCATTTTCTAGCCTCCCGCCTATGCTGGATACTTAATATACCACTGCTCATTTTTGGCACCTGCACTCTCTGGCCAAAGAAGCACGGGCGTACCCAAGGCAGCCGAAGCTCCTGAAAGATTTAGAACTGACGCCGGGAAGGCGACATTGTAGAAGCTGCAATTATGCGTTAGGACCAAAGTTTATAATGGATGTTGAAATCATATAGCGAAGGCATACTGACATATAAGCCCCATTTCCGGCAGGGACAATAGTATATCTTACTGTCTTATCAGTGGGGGAGATGAGGTTGCCTGTGGTGGCGCCGTCTTCGGGTCAATTTGTTAGCAAATATTTCCAGTCCGCAAAGGAAGACTAGAGAGAATCGGGATTGAAAGTTGGAACGTTATACTTACTAGCACCACCACTTCCGGTCAAGTAGGTGCCAGTTGCGACATTAATGATCAAGTACTGCCCATTTCCAGCATCAGCGATCTGCCATTGCGCGTTTGGTGCTGAGTCGTTAGTACTTTCGCAAATTAGCACAAGAATACGGAACAGCAAGGGTAGCGCACAAGCCGATGACGGGTGTCTTGTTTGCAGGATTGGCTCCGGACAAGTTGATAATGGTGCCGGTAGCTACGGAAACCAAGATGTAGACGCCTGGGCCGGTGTAGTCGCTCATGATTGCGATGAGTGGATTTTTGATTTTTGGAGTTTGGGTAGACGTTCTTGTTAAATGAAGAAGTGTGTGTGGTGCTTGGAGATTGGTTCCTTGCTGAGCTCGATGCCATGTATTTATACTTCACGATCGTCATAGTGGAGTATCAAGATCAAGGTCTCATCATGATTGGAATATACTTCCAGCCCATATCATAACAGTTCGCTCTTGCAGGCGCCTCTTGACTCGGTTATCTTAATACCTGTTGTCTCTAAGGGGCAAACCATAAGACAAGTCTAAGACAACAAGCGTACAGTCCCAATGACGGTCCTCGCGACTTGAGACTGCATAATTTTTAGTTGGTCACCTTTCTGTGCGACCATATTGCGCGAATAAAACACGCTTAAAGCCTCAATATCATTCCACAAGTGATCAAGACGTTACACAGCATACTGTTCAGCTAACCACATTCTCTATGCAATCATATTGCACCAATCGAACACAAGTGATCACGGTTTGAAACAGCATATTCTTCAGCTCGGCACATATTCCACTCCACAAGATGATCTTGTAATGTGACCATAGCCACTGGATCCACATGCAGGACTTCTGCAGCAAATCCTTCCACTTTTCCACAACTTCATGCCTGTGTCGCTTTGATGCAAGATCTTGACACCTACACATTTCCAGCCGGTTTTGCGAAAAGTCGGGTCTTGCCGAGTCCTACTACAGTAGCCTGGCGCTAGGGATGGCCGAATTGATTTAATTTATGTAAATAATATTGGTCTGGGCTAATAATAAATGCATTATATTTATACAGAATTCATGGAATTTATGTAATATTAGTGCAAAAAACAGGTAAAACAGAGAAAAAACAGAGACACTTAATTAATATTAAGAGAAGTTTAGATAATTATGCGAAATTCTATTCGCATATAATAGTAATAATAGTAATTCTATTAGTTCAGAATAGGTTCTAGCCTATTTGGGAAGAATACCAATAAATAGTATTATTTATTATATAATATTAGTCTAAACCCGATAAATTTATTAATAATAATATTAGTTTTCCCAAATTCTTATATATATTAATCTTATCTAACCTTATAATTAATATATAATTTCTTATATATAAAGTATAATATAAATTTAAAAAGTATTAAAGATATTATTAAAAACTAATTTAGTATTAAATTAAAAAAATACTAACTTTATAAACTATAAAAGTAATTAATTAATTATATATATATTAATATTATTAAAGATTTTATTTTATTCTATATTATATTAAATATTTTTATATTAAAGAAATACTTTTTATATAAATATTTTATATAATTTCTTATTATAAAGTTTTAATAAAATAGATTAAATAATAAGTTTTTATATATTTTTATTAATCTATTTATTATATAAAAGTAGTTTATTAAATTAATATTATATATAAGTCTTGGTTTTTTTTATTTTTTATAATTACTTTAAATATATTTTAAAGCTTATTATTAGTAGTAATTTTAATAAGAGACTATAATTTATAATTTAGTAAATTAATATATAAATTTTTTTTTCCTTAAAATATCTTTTTATTACTTTAATTAAAATAATCGTGCGTCGAGACTAGCACTAAAGCCCCTGCGTCCCTGCGGGTTTAGTGCATATTAGCAATACGGTCAAAAATCAGCGATACGGTCATTTTTTTAGAATACTAATTTTCCTAATTTTAGTGAAAATCAGAGAAAAATATTTTATAGTTTATATGGAGTTCACACTATATTTAATAAATCAAATTCTCTTACTTTCACATTGCATATGCATATAGTAAAAAATAGTGGAAATATTACACACTTCACCTTACCGGCGACCCCCCCCAAAATGCTACTAACTTAGAAATTAATTAATTACAGAATAACCATGTCCTAAATCGTGTACCCAATAATAGTCTCCTCTCCACTAGCTTCCAATCTGACTATATGACCAAAGCCATTATCATAAAATAAAGGGGGAGGGGGTGGTGGTCTGACAAAACCAAGCTCCCTAGCTAGCATTTCCACCCGCATATTACCAAACTCACTAACCTATTCCTCCTGGTATCCGGGAGAAGCTAGCCTAAAATCCATCTTATTCGCATGAAAGAGCTCTATCTTGCAATCGATTTGCCTCTATTCCGCCCATTTTGCTATTAATTTTTGGTAGTGAGCCTTTAGACCAGTTTCACCATATTCAACAAATAGTGGTTTATCCCTATAGCCAAAGGGCTCCCCTAAATCGTACGGAGCTATTTCCCCCCGAGTACGTCTCCTGCGTGAAAGCTTACTAGTAATATGCTTTGTAATATAGGTATTAGTCTCCCTGATTCGGCAATTTAGGTAGGCATTAGTATCCATCTCTTCAGGAGTAAAGAGAGACTCTCTGCGATATGCGATTTGACATATAGCCGAACCCTTGGATATAACTCCATACTTTTGCACATGCTTCCTGCCCTCCTTATCTAGCTTATTATGCTATTCCTGGAGTACTGCCTTCTCCCTTACAAGCTCTCTTTCCATAATTAGCCCAGCCTTAATTAGCTTAGGCTCAGTCAACTTCTGGTATGCCCTCCAAGATCTCCAAAAACTTGGTATAAGAGCGTATTCCTCGTTATCCTTTGCAAGGATAAAATAATCGTCCAAACGTTAATATATATAGGTATTATGTGCCGTACGATTTACAGAGGTAGGGGGGTTTTGGAAGGGTTTTGACGATGGAGGGATTTGCGGGGGTAGAGGCTCGATTTGCTTATCCACTATAAAATTAGCCTATATTACTATATAAATTACTAATTAACAAACCTTCTTTTGGTTCGAATTGAGCTAGCTTCTCGTACGCATGCCGTATCGTATCAGGTCCTAATAAGCCCGCTTTGGTAAAGGCACTAATAATAGTCCTATGCTTGAATGTCCTCCCATAAACCGTCTGGTATGCCCCTAGAAAATCAAGCTTGGTATAAATAATATTACCATACTGAATCTTATCGTAAATACTGATTTAATGCCAGTACTTGAGAGATTAAAAGAGGCCAATATCGAGCGGTTAAAGGAGATATGTGCTATGTAGTAGTAGTTGAAAGGGGACGATCTTGTGGGACCAGCAATAATATAAGAACTCGTCTAAAGTGTGGGAGCCATGCCCGTCAAAAATTAACATCCTCCATTTGCCTTGTATACGTTAATATGTCTGATTATGGAAGTGCTTAATATATTTCAGGCTTAGAGCATTATTTATATACCCAGTAGAGCTTATGGCGAAGACTAATTCGGTATCCAGATCATTATCGAAGTGTGCCTCTACCAGGATCTCCCCCTTCAAAATAAGGAATAGTGTAATTGCTTTGCCCCTAGCGAATATAGTTTCGATCGCAGTAAGTGATTCTCGATTATTGGGATCTGCCAAGTAGACAGCTTTCGTATTAAGGTATATAATAATAATCTTTCTATTTAAAATGCTAATACGAAAGCCGGTTTCGTCCATATTCCATACGTCTTCAAAGCAGATCCCATATTTCTCTAACGCCCCATAATACTCCGTAAAATGCTCTTCCAGATCCTCCTTTTAATATGCCGCCTTCCGCTCTTGTGCTAGTGTCTTTGTGCGAAGGGTTTTAAACCATAATTTGTTCCGTTTAAACTATTATTATGCCTATAGGCGGTTTACTTGGTAGGTGGAAGCGCTATCCCCAAGGATCTTATTAGCCGCCGCCCGTACTATCTTGAGATTAGCTCTATGGCCTAAATAGATCATAAAATCGATAAATTGCTTTAGGGCCTCCTCCTGATCAGGATTAAGGACCTTATTGAGGCCCCCTTTAGTGTTTTGTGGTGTGCGGCCAGCCAAACGCGCTTTCCAGAGGCGTAATTTGACCCTGAATTAACGCGCAATCGTAGATTTTTTGACGTATGGGTTCCTGGTATAGAAATCGGAGGCCTGGGCCATCCTTTTCTCTTCTTCTGGGTCAAATTTGGCCATGGTATTAATATTTAATTAATTAAAATCGATATAATAGTAAAAAAAATGACCGTATCGCTGATTTTTGACCGTATTGCTAATACGCACTAAACCCGCAGGGACGCAGGGGCTTTAGTGCTAGTCTCGACGCACGATTAGTTCTTAATATAATAATTAAGAAAATTAGAAAATTAGAAAATTCAAAACCAAAAAGATTATTATATATTAAATTATAATTATATATTTTTAAGAATAATTTAAGAAATACTTTTTATTATTATTATTTAAAATAAAAGATTTAAATCTAATTATAATAACTCTTATTTTTTAATACTTTTTATATATAATAAATAAATATTAATATAATTATATTCTCCAAAAAAGAATTTATTATTAAGATTATAAAAATAAAAATAAGGTAATTATTTATTTAGTTATAAAATTTAAAGGCAATAATATATAAATAATTTAATTAATAACTAGTTTTTATTAAGTTTAATAAATTTAAAGATTATATATTAATATTATAATTTTTATTTCTAAATATTAACTATTTTATTAGCTTATATAAATAATAATTTATAATTATATAATAGTATTATATATTAATTAGTTTATATATATAAATTAGAAAAGATTAAATTCCATTTATCTAAAATTTAATTATTTAGAAATAAAGCTATTATTTAAATTAAAAAAGAAATAATTATTAATTCTATTATTTATAATATAATTATATAAATAAAAGAAATATTTAGTTTTATTAAAATTTAATTATATTATATTAAAACTAATTATATAAATAAAAAATATAATTAGTTATTTAATTATTTTATTTCTATTTCTATTTAATATTTATAAAACTTTCTTAAAAAGAAAATTGAATTCTTAAAACTTTTAAGCTTTAAAATAATTAAATTCTTTCGAAATCTTAATATTTTATTTCTTAAATTTCTTATAAGCTATTATATTTCAAATTAAATATAAGTTTATAAAATATATAATAATAAAGCTTATTATAATAAAGCTTATTATAATAAATATTTTTTTTATTAAATTTTTTTTATAAAAAATAATAAAGATATAGAATTAATCTAAATATTAAACGATTTTAATAAAACTTTTTATATAATAATTAATAAACTTTTTTAGGAATTATTTAAATATAATTTTAAGAACTTTAATAAATTTAAACTTATAAAAATATAATATTTATATAAGATTCTTTAATATAATAATATATTTATATAATAAAATAATAATACTAATATTATTAAAAAATATAATTATATATTAGAACTTATACTAAATCTCTTATATTTCTATAAATTTAGTAGAAAGGAAAACTAGTAATATAATTAAAAATTAGTAATATAGTTATTTTTTTTGAAATATTAATTCTCGGAATTTTAGTAAAAATTAAAGAAAAATATTTTATAGTTTATATAAAGTTTATATTATAATTAATAATCGAAATTCTTTTATTTTTATATTATATATATATAGTATAAAATACTAGAAATATTATATACTTTATCTTATTAGTAATTTCCCTAAAAAGCTTTAATTTTAAGAAATTAATTAATTATATAACTATTGTATCTAATAATTATTTTCTTTTTATTAGTAGCTAATTTAACTATATTACTAAAGCTATTATTATAAAATAAAAAGAAAAGAAAGAAATAGCTTAATAAAACTAAGCTTTTTATCTAATATTTATTATTATATATAAATATATATTATCTAGTAAATAGATATACTTTCTTCTAGAATCTTATTAGATATTTTCTATATTTTTTTTAAAATTAATATTATAGCCTAAATAGATTAAAAAATTAAAAAATTATTTTAGGGCATTTTCCTAATTATAGTAAAGAGCCTTATTAAAGTCTTCTTTAGTATTTTATAGTAATTGGCTAGCTAATTATACTTTTAAGATATATAATTTAATTATAGATTTTTAATATATGGGTTTCTAATATAAGAATTAGAGGCCTAAACTATTCTTTTTTCTTTTTCTGAATTGAATTTAGTTATAATATTAATATTTAATTAATTGAAATTAATATAATAATAAAGAAAATAACTATATTACTAATATATATTAAATCTATAAAAATATAGGAAATTTAGTATAAGTTCTAATATATAATTAAATAAGAATATTTTAGAAACTAAACTAGATTTTTAAAAGAACTCGATTTTATTAGACTTTATAACTTTTATAAAAAATAAGTATTTAGAATTACTTATTTCTAAAATTCTTATATTATTATTATTATTATTATTATTATTATTATTATTATTATTATTATTATTATTATTATTATTATTATTATTATTATTATTATTATTATTATTATTATTATTATTATTATTATTATTATTATTATTATTATTATTATTATTATTATTATTATTATTATTATTATTATTATTATTATTATTATTATTATTAAATTTATTAAAGATTATTAAAATACCGAGTTTTAGAAGCGAGCTTAGTTTAAATTATAGCTTAAAATCTTAGCTAAAACTAATTCTTTTAGCTAAAATTATATTTATATTAATTATATAATATTAGTTATTATGTTTTTATTTTTTTAATATTTATTAATATATAAAGCTTCTAGAAAAAATACTAATAAGAGCTTTTTCTATTATATTAAAGAAACTAGTATAAAACTACTTCTATAATAACTAGCTTTCGAGCTATATATATAAAAAGATCTATATAAATATTTATAATTCCTTTAAAGGCCCTGGTTTCTATTATTAAAATTTAAATAAATAAAATAATATTATTTTAGTAATTATAATAGTAAAAGACTTTAAAAAAGATAATATTTAAGCTTATTTAAATACTAATTAATAACTTATATAAATTATAATATAGCTTTATTTCTATTTTATAAAATATCGAATTTCTATATAATAAAATTATTATTTCTTATTAAAGCTTACTAATATACTAATATATAATTTTAAACTCGTCTAATAAACTCGGCTAGCTTATTAATAAGCTCTAATTATTTATTATTATTTATAAAAAGAAGTAATAAATTAATACTAAAATTTATTTTACTAATTAATAATATTATTTTTAAAACTTTTTAAGCTATTATTTATCTAGAAATTATTAATATAGATCTAGCTATAACTTCGGAATCTATAATTATAAATATTATATTCTAAAGTTATATTTTATATATAAAAGATTTAAATATTATTTATAAAAATATATATTAGAAAAATAAAAGACTAAGAAAGCTCGATTTAAAAATAGAAATATTTACTAATTTAGATCTCGAAACTCTTATAACTTTAATAAATACTTTAGTAATATCTATATATAATATATTATTAAAATTAAAAAAGAAAAAAATAATAAAAATAATAAAAACAAACTAGAAAATAATACTTTTAAAGCTTTATTAATAAAAATAAATAAAGAAAAGAAATATTATTTAGATTCCTATTTTATTTCTATTAAAAGCTTTCTAGTTATTTTTACTACTTCTATTTCTATTATTTTTATAATTAATATTCTTATAAATAATTTCATTTCTTTTTTTATATATATTAGATAATAAATAAAAATTATATTTTAAAATTTATTAAATAAATAGAAAATATTCAGATATTTATAATTAATAATATATTGAAATATAATACTTATTACTTTTATAAAATTATATTTAATAGTAGAGTTTCTAGGTTTTTAACTATTAGTTTTAACTAATTTTATAATATATATAGGATTATATATAACTTAAAGGCATATAATAAATCTTAGATATTACAGGTATTAATTAGGGAAATCGGCGGTTCTTTAATATTATAACTAACTACTATTTATATTATAAGTATTAGGCTTATAAATTACTAATTATATATATATTATCGGGGCCTCCTATTTAGAGAAGGCTTCCCTGAACCTTATAAAAGAGATAGAAATTAGTTCTATATTAAATTTAATACTATAGTTTTATAACTTATTAATTTATTCTATTATTTTATTACTTACTAATAAATACCTTATAAGCTAATCTCTTTACTCTTAAAAGAAATAGTTTAATAAATAATTATATTTTAAAATCTATAAAATATATAATTCCTTACTAGAGCTATTTCTATAGAGGAAGTTAACTAAATTAATCCTAATACAAGTAATAGTAAAGACTTGTCTAATACTTTTAATAAGGCTTCTTAGGAGCCTCCAAAAGCTAGTAATAATAATAGAAATAATTCCGGTAATAATTAAAATACCGAGATTAATATTCAAATTACTACTATTTAAACTATAGAATAGGGCTTATATACTAAAGTCGAAGTACTCTAATAAAAGCAAGAATTAGTAAATATAATTAACTAATATATCCTATAATTAGAGTAATATAAGAATACTCTTAGAAATATCTTATAGTTTATTATATCTTATAGAAATTCTATTTATAAATCTATCCTATTTTCTTTAGTAATTTCTACTAGAGAACTTCCTAAAATAGAATTAGAACCTATTTCCTTTCCTAATATAATAAGCTTTAAAAGTAATCTCAATACTATTTATTAGAAGCTATTATATAATATCTTAAAAATATATTTAGACTAAAAAAAGCTTTTTAAAAT